GGCACCTTTGAGAGTCAAGAAGGGTGTTACTAATAATTATGCTGGGACAATAGGTACAAACTTGGGCATTCTCAGGCAAACCTGGACATGTGACCGTCCTACTTCTGTCAGGGTAAGGATTTTGAACTTTATCTTTTGTGTAGTGGATACCATTGAAGTGATATTTCATAAAAGCAAGGAGGCAACCTTAGTTCATGTTTCAAAAAGACTACTCTCACTCCAATGCAGAAAAAAAGATAAAATAGGAGCAATGTTTAATAGAAAAATACTGAATGTTAGACAATTCATCTAGAAGTATTCAGAAGACTTTTTTGACCTTTAGTATGAAGAGTAACCAACTCAACACAAAATCCTAATTCTTTCCTTGTCTACGCATGAATTTAAAAAATCCACAAACACACTTAACTCTGATGCAAACTGGAAGTAGAGGTGTATGTGCATGTGGTGTTTTAAAAATATGCCCACAAATTCTTTGAAACACTTCCCTTCAAAGGCAGAGTTTAATTCTCCTTTCTTGAGTGAGCTGGGCTTAGTGACTCATTTATAATAAATAGAAAGTGACAGAAGTGATGGTGTTACTTCTGAGGCTAGGTAATAAAAGGCATTTTGGCTTCCTCCTTACTCTTTCTTGGATCATTCTCTCTGGGGGAAGCCAGCTGCCATGTCCTAAGGACACTCAAGCAGCCTTATGGAGAGGTCCACATAGCAAGGAACTGAGGCCTCCCACCAATAGCTGTATGAGTGAGCTATCTTAAAAGTGAATCCTCCAGATTCAGTGAAGCCTTTAGTTGACTGTAGCCCAGGCCAATGTCTTGACTGCAATCTTATGAGCAACAAAGAACCACCCAGCTAAGCTATTCCTAAATTCCTGATCTATATAAAATGAGATAATAAAGTTTGCAGTTTTAAGCTACTAATAAATTGAGGAAAATTTATTACATAATAGATAGGTACCAGTATATTTATTTGAGAGAGTCTATCACTTTCATCACATTCCCAGAATAATGAATGACCCCCAAAAGATTAGGAACTACTACTATAAAATAATCTCTAAATATCTTCAGTCCTCATGCTGTAATTTCTATGGATTTATTTTTTATACAAGTTTGTGACTAAGTCCAACAAGTGAGAATATCGCATTTTTCAAACCACTGGAAGGCTCAAAAAAATCTGTCAAAGTGCTGTATCAAGGATGGGTGAAGAAAAGCAAACCTCACTTAGCTGATTAAGCTAAGATCTAATAGAAAATCTCATGCAGAGGAAGTAATTTTTCATACTCAGGAAAAGGTTTAAAATCCTAAAATTGTTACATGATTCTGTCATGGTAACAGACTCATCAGGAGAAATTAATCACTGGATGAGGTTTTACTATTAAAGGACAGGTGGTATAACATGCTCTCATTACAGAAAAGAAAATGTATTCATGTATGTATAGATGGACATGTCCAGAAAAAGTTCTAGAAGGATAGTGTATCAATCAGGGCTTTGGGCTACAAATAGCAGAAACTGATTATGGTATCAAAAAACAAATAGACAAGAGGGCAGGAGGGTCAGCTTCTATAAATGGACAGGAGCTGCAAATGCAAGGCAGCAGGAACCTAGTGCAGTCAGTTATAGACACAACCTCCTAAGAAGCTGTTCCAGGAAAAAGAACACTATGGTGGCCACAGGCTTCTTGCTGCTGTGAATATCTGAACCAACACAGATACTCTACATCGCTTCCACATTCCAACTCCTGGAACAGAAGCATTCAAAAGACCAGAATGTCTTTGGTAACACACAATCTAACAGTATCGCTGTTAGCTGTTGTGGAGTCAACTCTTGACTTGCAGCAATCCCGTGTACAACAGAACGTAACGCTGCCTGCTCCTTACAAGCACCTGTGTGCTCTAGGCGATCCTTGTAGCCACTGTGCTGGTCCTTGTCATGAAGGGACTCCCTCACCCCTGTTGATCTCTACTTCACCAAACAGGAACTCCTCCAGTGTCTGATTCCTCCTGATGATGTGTCCAAAGCGAGTGAGTCAGACAGTGCTCTGCTGTGGTCCATGAGGTTTCCAATAGCTAAGATTCAGAAGCAGATCACTAGGCCTTTCTTCCCAGTCTGTTTTAGCCTAGAAGCTCTGCTGAAACCTGTCCACCCTGCTGGTACGTGAAATACTGGTGGCATGGCTTTCAGCATCAGCAATATGCAAGCCACTACAGTAAGACACACTGACAAATGAATGGTGAAATACTACATAATGTACTTCAAAAATCTTAAATGTAAGCACTGACAAGACAGGTTTTATTTTGGAGAAAGGCTATCTGGACTAGATAAGCACTATAAACTTAAGAATCCGTATTTTATAAAAATGAAATGGCAAGTAAGGGGAAGTCATCTGCTTCTAAAAGTGATTATTTTAAATATTATTCCACAACTTTACTGCTGCTGCTGAAAACAAAGACTATCTGGATACGATGAAGAGAATTCTAAAATTGCTCACATCCTATAGATGGGTTAAGTAGAATCAAATATGTGCCCATGGCAATTTCAGAAAGGCAGGAAGCAAGCCTACAACAGAAGTGGCTAAAAAGGGATGCTGAAGAGATGAGGACCTTTCCCTATCTTGACAATTCAAAGGTATTTCTTTGAAAAACTAAATAAAGACAGAAGATAAAACTGCAAATAAGAAATATAATTAAATGGTATTTCAAAATAAATTATATTTTAAAGTAAGTTTCCATTTTAAAAGCAAAAAAAAAAAAAAAGATGAGAAGTGACTTTTATTTCCTTGGGCAAACAGAACGTGGCAGGTTGAACACTTGATAACATCTCTAACACAAGGAATCATACATTAATACACTCCAACACATACAAATCTCTATTTCTAGGGGCTGTTCTGAATGATTTACAAAGAAATGCGTTTTAAAGCAGGATAGTTTTTCCAAGTCACGTCTTCTCTGTAATATTGCGCCATGAATACTCCTCTTGTGCTCTGTTGAGCTATTATGTCAACAGTTAAAGCTGTATATTTAATCTTCATGTTCCCTTTTGTTAGACTAACAAAATTAAGTGGTAGCAATACACACCAAACTACCTATGCCCCAGAGTCTAAAAACTTTTAGGATGGCACATTTTCAGTGTAGTAACTCTGATTCCATTGTTTTGTATGACTCTGCATTCCAATATTGTCTTTAGGTTGGAAAGCATGAGAAACAAGTAACAGAATTACGATTTTATCCTCCTTGAAAACAATGATAGTCTATAAACATTTGACAGCTATGAAACATCTTTATTGGAATAATTATTCTCAAAGTATTCATAGTACAAAAAAAATTTGGGTCATCATTTAGCTAAGATGATGACTAAACATAAATACCAAAAAAGTCATCACCAAGGAGCATAATTAAGCAACAAGAATTTCTAATGCCATGTATCACTTTTTACGGGTGCCTGGGTGACACAAGGGAGCTCTGGTGGCATAGGCATTTGACTGCTAACCAGAAGGCTGGTGGTTCAAACCCACCAGCCACTCCTCAGACGGAAGGTTGGGCAATCTACTTCCGTAGCGATACTGCCTCAAAAACCCAAGGAGGGGTCACTATGAGTTGGATCCAACTCCATGGCAGTGCATTGTGTTTGCATTGGGTGGCACAAAGGTTAAGTGCTGGGCCACTAGCCAACAGGTTTGTGGTTCTAATCTATGCAGAGGCACTTGAGAAGACAGGCCTGGTCACAGCCTTGAAAAGCCCATGGAGCAGTTCTACTCTGCATACATGGGGTCACCAGGAGTCAGAATCAACTTAATGTCAACCAACATAGCACTTTTTATTGGGAAATTCCACTTCTCCACCCACATAGATAATCTGGTCATTTTGCTTGGTTTTATGAAGAAATCTTGATTTACCAACAATCTATATCATTCAGATAAAAACTGTACAATATGTTACAGTACAAATGAAATGTAACACTACTAACTCATTTTATGCAGCTATGAAAGTTAAGCTCGAGACTAAGTTCTGGCCTTTTAACGGGACAATTGAGATCAACTGTGGGGAAATTTTAAAATCTCCATCCTCAACACTCCTGTTCAGGCAAACAGATGGATGACAGAACTAGTTCGGGAGCCCCTGTCAGACAATGATTTGTATTGAAACTCCCTCCCTCTGCTCCAGCTGTCACCCCATCACTGCAAGGGCACTGAGTCCCTATAGCTGGAATAAGTCCTGCTGCTGTTTTTAAGGCCTCCCATATATTCAAAACAATATCCACTAGCAAGCAAACACCCAAGAATAGGAGTATCTAGCATTTTAAAGACCATTTTTCTTTAAAGACCATTTTTCTAAGACAAAGGTTTGATTAAAAAGTTATTTATTCAAAAATTTCTCTCAATTCCTTTTCCATATTAAATCAGGGAGCAATGTCACAAAACAGTAATCCATCAGTCCATCTTGTACAGAGGATGACAATTACCTCATTAGTTCATTAGTATAATCTACTAAATACTGAAATACAAATTCAACCCATTCACTTTTCCACCAAAGATAAACATAATTGGTAAAATTCATACAAAAAAATTGTTTCATAAAGGTTGTCTTCATCTTTCAGTTCAAGATTCAGCTGATATAAAATGATAGTGGCTTAAAAGAGCATCCAAGCAATGCTTTGGTATTTTTTTCTTTCCCCAAAATTCGATGAAAACATGATTGTTTGGCAGCTTCTTCACCACTCACGGTTTAGTAAAGGCCACCTGAGATTCCTTCGTGTTTCCTCATTTCCTCTCTCTGTATCTCCAGTGATTAAAATATGCTGGGAACATGATTGATCAGAGAGGACTATATATACCACATAGACCCTAGAGCTTAAAAGAAAAAGTTGTTGACTGGTTTTGAAGTTTTTATGAACTTCAAATTAATGTATAGAACACTGGTACTTTCAGAAACATACACAATCAAAAGAAACTTTAGTATTCTCAACACTGAACACTGAAGGCAAGAACTGTTCTCTCTTCTGATGGTTTAAGAAATCAGTCTTTTCTCAACAGTTTCTTGGTAAGTGATAAACCTCCTCAGGTTCATTTTCACGTTATCGAGAACACACAGCTGCTCTGGGCTGTATTTACCTCGCCCTTCTTTCCGCATCTGCCAAAGAACACAAAACAAATGTGATTTGGTAGATATTATTAATTCATTTAATTAAGTACTTAATTTAGGGCCTACTTAAGCATCTCCTAAGCAAGACAGCTGCCAGAATCTGGTAAAACATTTTCACTTCCAAGGTAAACTGAACGAAGTACACGAATGATAGAGATTAATTTAGAATATATACCTTTAAAAGAATCTACAAAAATGACTCAACTATATACTTTAAAAAGGTGAAGTTTATGGTATGTGAATTATATCCAATTAAAAATGATGCCTTCAAACTGAACAGTGTTATCAGCACACAGACTATAATGTAGCTTGAACACAGTCTCACTGCCACAGAAACAGAATAGGGGGTATCTGAGCAATACCATTAATGGTGTCCGGTTTCAGTATACACCACCATGAGTCTAAAGCAGTGGTTCCGAAACTTTAGCATGCAACAGTACCATCTGGGAGGCTTGTTAAAAACCAAACCGGTGGGTTCCTGAGGTCAGGGGTTGGCCTGAGAACGAGTATTTCTAACAGTCACTGGGGGACGCTGATGCTGCAGACCCAGGGCACATCTGAGAACCACTGATCTGGAGAAGGTATTAGTAAAAGGCACAATACTGTGTTGAAATGAATCCAGGTTAACACATATACTGAATGGCTTCTCCACACCAGTAAAATACATTTGCTTGCAGCATTGTGCCCTTTTACAGAATTATCTATGTGAAATCAAACTGACAAGGCAACTTGAAAGGTGGGATGGAAAGCTTAGGGGCAGTAAGTTTACAGTAACGGTGGTGGAGTAATTTGGAAAAGGATACCAAGAATGGCTGCACAACTTGAATGGAACCAATGCCACCAAATTCCACATGCACAAATTGCTGAAATGGTAGACTCTGGTTAACTAATGAAAAGAAATATATATATACTACACAGCAGTTAATGAAAGTGTTTCTTTTATACATATAAAAACTGTATAAACATATTTTATACATATAGAAAACTATAATCTTGAACAAAAGCATGATTAAAAGCAAGCTCTCCACTGGGCAATCCTACTTCTGTAGTGATACTGCCTCGGAAACCCAAGGAGGGGTTGCTATGAGTCAGGGCCGACTCGACAGCGTATAACAACAACACAACTAGTGAAACTTAGCTCAACAGATCATAGCCACCGTAACTAAAATTTTAAATGTAAAAATTTCCTGTATTGACAGGAAAACATTTAAAAAAACAGTAATGACGTTCTTAAACCAGCACTGACTTCAGATGTAACAAAGATGTAGAATGTACATGGTGTACTGCTATTTACCTTTTCTTCTAGAAAACAAAGCTTTTTTTTTTTTTTGGTAATGTCTTAAAGGTTTCAGAAGATTCAAATTTCTAGGCATATAATCAGGGAGTTCTGGTGGAGAAGTGCCTAAGGTATCTGAATGCTAACCAGAAGGTTCGCGGTTCAAACCCACCAGCCACTCCTTGGAAGGAAGATTGGGCAATCTACTTCTGTAAAGATACTGCCTCAGAAACCCAAGGAAGGGTTGCTATAAGTCAGATCTGATTTGACAGCAACGAGTGAGGCATAAAATCATATTCACCTGAAAATTCATCATAGGGTTCTCTCCATGAGAACTGAATTCTGTATTAGGGGCTTGATAAACAATGCTTATTGGAAAACAACAAAAGTAAGCTAATTTCTCATCAAAATTTCCATTATTTTGATAAAGATTTTAAAACAAATAGCTAATATTTTTATTTCTCAAAAGTACGTAATTTTAAAACAGATTTAGGTAAGAGGAGAATGTTGTTATGTGCTATCGAGTCAGACCTGACTCGTAACAACCCCTCCTTGGGTTTCTGAGGTGGGATCACTATGCAAGCAGATTGCGCAACCTTCCTTCGGAGGAGTGGCTGGTGGGCTTGAACTGCCAGCCTTCTGGTTAGCAGTCAGATGCCTTAGGTACTACGCCACCAGAGCTCCAGAAGAGAATGGTAAGCTTAAAATAATAGAGGGGTCGCTATGAATCAGATTCAACTGGACAGCAGTGAATGAGTGTGAGTATGATTCAAACAGTCATGTGATTCACGTTTGTTTTTAAAATTCTTTGTTGCTCTTCCTTCCTCCCCTGTTGCCAAAACAGTCTGTTAAATTATTATTTGACACAGTTAGTTTTGATGTTTCTAATGAATGAATCAATCAATCAATAAGCTAATGAAGGAAGTTATATTCTCTAATTCAGAGCAATTAGAGTTTGCCTTACCTTCAGAACACCTAAGGGAACTACACAGAACAATGACATTGGCCTATAATGTATTACATGAGATAAAATAAATTTTAAATGTATGTGTGGTGAAATGAGTTCCTTTATGTGCCTTTTGCCTTGGTTCTTTGGAAAAACAGTTGGAGAGATTTTCCCCCTAAGCCCTAAGGAGGTTATCTTTGCCCTAGTTTTCTACCCTACAGTCTTTTACTTTTGCCAGATTGATGAACATTTCCTGGGCAAGTTGCAAACAACTTGGTTTTGATACTTTTTGTCTGATCCTGCAAAACTGCCCTGTGATTGGTATATACCTTGCAGGGATTGGCCAATGGACTATGCAAATTATATGAGTTGCAGCCTACTATGCAAATGAAGCATCTGTAGCTTACCAAGAGGGGAATGGTCAGTTCAATTGGTGGCTCTGGTGGGAGTGCCATGCTTTGACATTGACAAAGAGTTTGTATATTTAAATAGCCAGCCCCACAGAGGTTTTCAGATAGGAAGAAGCAGAGGATAAAAGAAAGAAGCAGAAGAAAGACAGGAGGCAAGAAACCTTCTAGAAGAGCGGGGTCAAAGGCTGTAACACTGAAGGGGCGAAAGGCCTCGAAAGGGCCCATTGGCAGCGTCGGTGGTGACAGACGGCAAGGCCAAGAGGATCCTCTTCCAAGGGGACCTGAGATGAACCTGTCTTCAGTGGGGGTGGGAGGAGGCCTGTCCTGCATTGAAGAAAGGAGGTTGTGCCTGTTTGCTTCCTGATCCTGAATTACAGCCTGTTCTTTAATAAACCACTTAACTGTAAGTATGATCCCTGAGTTCTGTGTGGCCATTGCAATGGATTATTGAACCTAGAAGAGAAGTAAAGAGTGCTGGTATGTCTGATCTCTACCTCACAGGGATTAGTCTTGGGCCAATCTTGATTCACATTATCCCCCTGAAGTTAGACGGGTTCTGTTGCTACTACTGATACCAGTCCTGTTCTATAGCATGTGAAAGTGCTACAGACTATAGTATTTATATACACAAAGTAAGTACTATTACCATTACTGAACTGTTTAATAAAGGGAACTTGTCACATATCATTTTGGCCTCCAGTTACAGTGATTCAACAGGAACACTGACTGAGCCATGACTCAGTCAACGAGGATTTTACAAAGCATTGGGGATGAAGTGCTGAATTAGTCACTGAGGTTACAGAGATTCGTTATGCACAAGCCACTGAATTACACGATGGTAACTATCCCCAAAGAATGCTGAGACTTGCATTTCTACATAAAATGGCAACACACCTTCATTTTGAAGATTGGCTGGAATTCTTTCAGAGCAGGTAACAATTTAATATGAATTGAAGCTCTTTCAGCTTCTTTACCATCTGCAAAAACATCAAAGAGGGCATCCAGAGCTTCTCCTGCTACTACAAGGGATGGATCTTTGGTGGCAACCTCAAGTAGAAAGCATCCAATCGTCTGGAGACAACAAAACACATTATTATAGTCCAATGTTCTAAGGTACGTCTTCAAAGTAAGTACTTTAAATGATGCATGAATGATTGTTTTGTAAATCATTAAATTCTCCCCTTTACTTTACCTCAAAAGACTTTCTCCATGATGTCAAAATGTATAGAAATCTTATCTATAACATGAAAAAACAAAACAAAAAAATCCTCTGCTTTTAAAATTATATGAGAAACACTCTAAGACAATAAAAATAAATGAAGAACACAACACATTCTCATTTTGCCTGGAAAAATGTGAGTATGGACTAGGGAGTGGACATATTAAGAAATTACTATTAACTATGTAAGATGTGGGTGCTCTGGTGGCGTAGTGCCTAACGCATGTGATTGCTAACCAGAAGGCTGGCAGTTCAAATTCACTAGCAACTCCTTGGAAGAAGACTGGGCAATCTACTTCTGTAGAGATACCACCTCGGAAACCCAAGGAGAGGTTGGTATGAGTCATATTCAACTCGATGGCAGTGAATTTGCGTTTTTTTTTTTTGGTACATAAGATGTGATAAACGCAATTATGTAAGAAACTGTCCCTATTTTTTTAGATACATACTGAAAAAAAAGGGGCAAATAGCATGATTATCTTTAATGTATTTTAATGTACCCAGCAAAGAAATGGTATGAAGTATATATGACAGAATATTAGTAACTGTTAAATCTACTTGAAGAGTAAACAAAACTCATTCTTTCCACCTTTATGTTTGGAAATGTGAATAATGCAAACATTAAAAAATCTTACAATGTCATGCCCCAAGAAAACTTTCTGTTCCTCCAAAGTCAGCCTTGAAGAGTATAGTCTTAAGGGGCAGAGAGGGATCCTACATACACTAATTCATCTACATGTGTACACACATACACAGCCACACAGCCAGACTCTCTCATTTACCTCCACCTGTATCTAGCCTCTCCCTAGAACGATGCAGAACAATGTGATAACAATGGCTGCCTCTCCTGGGTGCACTGGGAATTTTGGGTGGAGATGAGTCTTTTCAGTATATATCATTTTATAATTTTCTAAATATTTTTCTATATACATGTTGTCATTTAAAAAAAATAAGTCCTTAAAAATATTTAATCATATCACCATGGAGGGATGGACACTGGAAAGAGGTAACTATGGGGAGGAAGTGGGCAGGGAGCTGTTGCATTTTGGTAAACTGTGGTCAATGTCATGAGACAAAGTATATGTAAACTGCTGTATGCAACAAAGTGAATTTGTTCTGTAAATCTTCACCCAAATCACAATAATAATAATAAATTTAGTCATATCAACAGATAAATGGAGAAACAAAATGCAGTACATATATATAGTGGGTATTACTGAGCCATAGGGATATAAGGTTTTGATACAGGCCATAACATGAATACATGTTGGATAAACAAACTTTGAAAATATCACGCTGAGTGAAGTAAGAGTCACAAAAGGACAAATGATCTCACATACATATAATAGACAAATATATAGAAACCAAAGGTTATCAGTGATTATAAGGGGAGGATGTGAAGGGGAGTGGGAATGACTGCTTTGGGGCACTGAATTTGTTAACAGTGGTGGAATAACGCCAAAAAGTACAGTAATAACGGCTGCACATTACGAAGAATGTGACCAATGTTTCTGAATTATACAGGTAATAACTTTTGAATTAGCAAATGTTTTGTGATGTACATTTTTACCACAGTAAAAACAATTTTTAAAAATATTAGGTCACAATTATAACATTCTTAACAAGTTAATACTTTACAATTATTACCCATTAGTAAACAGTACTTTATCAGCAGCACAATGAAGGATAATTGGACTCTCTTTAGTTACTAGTCATGCTGTACCTCTAGCAGCACAGTTCCCAAGCAGCTGTGCTAGGATGAAATGCTGAAAGCATGTGTGCAGAGTGCCTGCCTTAGTTTAGTGGTACTACCAGAGCTGCTTAAGGAGCTCTGGTGGTGCAGGGGTTAAAGCCTTCAACTGCTAACCAAAAGGTTGGTGGTTTGAACCCACCAGCTGCTCTGTGGGAGAAAGATGAGGCAGTCTGCTTCTGTAAAGATATACAGCCTTGGAAATGCTATGGGGCAGTTCTCTCTGGCAGTGAGTATGGTTTTTTTGGTTGACCAGAGTCACTCTTAAAATTTATAAAGTGGTATTAGAGTAACTTTGTGGTGTATTTTTAAGTGCACTTTAACCTAGTATGCAAAGAGAATTGGGTGGCTCATCCTTTTGTCAGGAGAAAAATATGCATACATTTTAAGCAACATCAAAGAAAAAGGACATCTTTAAAAATCTTGAATTTGACTTTTCACTGAAGGCAAATTCATTTTTGAAAAGTATTTTTGGTGTAAAATTAAATGGCAAAATGTGACTCAGCTTTTCAAGGACCTAATACATACAGTTAGAACAAGCCAAAGGGTATATTCTAATAATATTATACCTTTGTAAGCAACTTCTGGACATCTTTCCATGACGTCATAGGGTTTTTAAAAAAATCCTGCACCAACTTTTATTCTTTCCCCATTTCTAATTATTTCATGTTTCATGGATGACAACTGTTTTTACCTTAAGGGTTTCAAGAGTACCATCTTCTTTGGCTAGGACGCTGCCAGTGATTCCTAAAATACTAACAACGTTTACTCTAACGCCGGTATTACTATTACAAATGCCAGTTTTGCATAACGTCATCAGTTGATCAGGAGTCATGCACTGTTGAAAGAAAAGAAAGCATTTACAGTGTTAAACTCAACCAATTCCAGCAGCATGTGAAGACAGGATTGACAACAATCTGTTCTATAGGCTGTGAGCTTCTTAAAGTGACAGACATTCTTAGCAGAGAAGATATTACCTATTCTAATTACTCCCACATACAGCTCAAGCTGTGTTTTCCAAACTAAACTGAGGCCTGATCACTGTCACTATCTACTATATCAAAGCTGCAAGCCATACAGGGCTTCTGTTCTTGTTTGTTTCATTTGAAGAAAACGTCCTTCATACCAGAAGTACACAGACTAAAGAGATTCTGATTTCTTGCTTTAACCCTAATCCTAAAGAAAGGTTTGGGAAAATGTAATATGATCATGTGGCTTTAACAAAATTAGCTGACACTATACAAGGTTACGGTCCCTGAGTGATCCAAGCAGTTTGCTACTGACACCTAACCTAAAGGTTGGCAGAACTCACCAAGTGGTATAGCAAAATAAAAGCTTGGCAGTCTGCTTCCCTAACGGTTACAGCCCAGAAAACCCTACGGAGCAGTTCTACTCTGTAATACACAGAGTTGCCAGGAGTCAGAACTGACCTGATGGCAATGGGCTTGTGTGCTAGTTAAGGCTGTGTGTCAACTTGACTGGACCTGGTTGAGTGGCTGTGCAGTTGGTGGTAGTTATGAGGAGACTGGCAATCAACTCCATAGTGGGATCTACCACAAGCAGCTGAGTAGCTGCTTTAGGGATATGGTCTGCTTCCTATATATATAAGCAGCAGCTTTGGGAATGGTCTGTAGCTTATGGCACGCTTGAACCCTGCATGTAGCCAAGTCATTGTTCAGCAGCCTACCATGCTCTGCCTATTGTGGGACTTCATCTGGACTTGAATTAGTGGCCTGCCATGTTGTTTGGTTAACACTGGGACTGTGTCTTTTTATTTGTCAACCTTGGGCTAGTCAGCTTCAGCAGCCAGCAGCTGTCTGAGTGAAGAAAAGCCTCCAGCTTCAGTGGGCTGGGAGCAGGAAGCAGAGCTGAAGCCCAAGCAATCTTTCACCCAGCCCCTAGAGCATGGCACTCTGAGCTTAGACTTAAAGCCTCCAAAATTGTAAGAGAATAAAACTTCTGTTTGTTCAAGCCATCCCATTTGTGGTATATTCCTGTCAGGGTGGCACTAGGTAACCAGAACAGCTTGGTTTTATTTCTTTTTTTATATGAGGTAAGAACTTCTTCCGGATATATGTGTTACAAAACATTAAAGATTGAAAAAAACATTAAATTATACAGTGGTCCACCATGTAGTGGTAATTTTAAGTTAATCTGAACATACATTTGGCAGGGTTCAAATCCTAGCTCCACTACTTATCCCTGGGCAATCCAGCGGAACTTACTTAATCTCTCTAAATTTTCCATTTCTTCATCAGAAATAAAATCAATCATCACAGAATTACTATGAGGATTAAATAAGATAATGCACACTCACTCAATGTTATTTATAAAAATATTGAATAGTTATAAATCATCAAATTCATTTATGAATCATTTCATTAGTTCTACCAAATCTAATGGGCCAGCCTTCTCAGAAAGTATCTGAGGGACAAAAAATCTGCAAACCATTGGTTTTTTTTTATAGTTAGGACAAGTTTATTGCTGTAAATGTGCAATGAACAACAAGCTAATTGGTAACTGAAGCACAGGTGCAGTCAGACCGTGCTGCATTATTTCCAGTATACCTCACAGTTCAAGGACCCAACGCGTACCAGGTACAAACCACGTAAGAAACTAGACAGGGAAGCAGGACAGCTGCATCCCAGTCCCAGTGCTGACGTAATAGATGTGAGACTTTAAATATGTCATTCAACAAATCTAGCTTTTGGTTTCCTTTCCTTGTAAAGTATTAGAATGGGGGTGTCCTTCTAACTCTAAAATTCTATGTCACACCCAGTACATAATCAACTGGGAAATTATTACCTTAATAAATGAATTATTTCCCACTAAATGAACATGAGTCTACAGTTATTTTCTTTAATACCAGACTGACCCAGTTAGCTACTGCCTACATACCATGGAAAATCAATAAAAATACCTTATACTACAGGTCCTACAGTATAGGAATTTTTTGATCCTCTCAACAGCTTACCTGGCAGATCTAGCATCATCGCCATTTCCACTTCACAGAACTGAGAATCAAAAGTTACGTCCTTAAACAAATTCTCAAATATATGAAGAAACTTTTTCTTTTTTTAAACAGAGTATCTACTAGTCTGGGTGGTGCAGTGGTTAAGCACTCGGCTGCTAGATGAAAGGCTGGTGATTTGAACCCACAGCTGTTCTATGGGAGACAGACATGGCGATCTGCTTCCGTAAAGACTTATGGACTTGGAAACCCTATGAAGGCAGTTCTACTCTGTCCTTTAGGATCACCACAAGTTGTAATCAACTCGAGGGCAATGGATATGGGTACAGATACTAGAAGCCAATGACATACATTATATTTAACAGTAAAACACCAGAGGCATTCCCATTACGCTCTGGAACAAGATAAAGTTTGAGAAGCCCTGTTTCTGAAGGTACAACCATGGAGCGAGTGGCTAAGAAAGGATGGGAGACAAGCGAACTGGGGAAGAGGAGGTCCAAGAACTGCAAAGCCAGGCTATTGAAGAATCATCTCCGTGGATACTGAAGTCACCTAAATTATGATGGGACTACTGAGGAGTGACAGTGAATTGCCAGTAGAAATCTTCAAGGAAAGAAGAGTGCCCCAGGGGACAGCAGATGACTAACCAGAAGTAAGTGATACAAGCTAATGACATGTTAAACAAAACAGGAGGAATACAGAAAGGAAGGAGGGAGAACAGCTCAGAACAGTTCTGAATATAGCAGGCATTAGAATTACCTGTAGAGCTTATTAAAACACAGAATGTTAGATTTTTCACAAAAGTTTCTTTTTCAGTAGGTCTAGGGTGAGGTCCTAGAATTTGCACTTATATACAAAGAAGAAAAAGACCAGCAACTCAACAGAAAAATGGCCAGATGAAAGGAAATGTATAAAGATATGCAAAAGCCCTTAAAAAGGGAAAAGCTGTTCAACTTCATCATTAACATTAGAGAATTGCAAATTCAATTGAGATATATTTTGTCACCTGTCAAACTGACAAAAACCCAACGGTTTAACACCATACTGTTAATTAAGGCCATAGCAAAACAGGCATTCTCATACATTGCCGTGGGGATGCAAAATGGTTCAAGGAGAGTAATACTTCACTACCTAGCAAATTACAAATGCTTTTGTTCTTTGACCCACCAAGTTCACTTCCAGGAACCTATCCTAAAGACACAATGGCAAAAATATAACATGTACGAAAAAGCTATTCATCACGGTTCTATCTGTAATAGCAAAAGACTAGAAACGACTCAAATGTTCATCAGTATCAGACAGACAGGTTGAGTAAAACTACAGACTATACAATGGAGTATTAGGCTATAAGCAAAGAGAAAAATCTCTATATACTACATCAAGATGTAATCACCTAGTGAAAAAAGAGCAACATGAAAAAATACTGCTTTTAAGAAAAGAAACGAAGTATGAATATATACAGATCTGCTTGTATCTTCAATTAAAATACAGTGATAAACCAAAAACTAAAAAGGATGATTACCAATAGTGGAAGAAAAGAATACAGACAAGGGGGCAGAAGCCAGAACTCTCTGAATGCATATTGAGGCATCATTTTAATTCTGAAGCTATTTTATATAATTAGAAAATAAAAGTTAAAGTAAGCCAGAAAAGTAATCCCTAAAAACAAAACCTGAAACAAATAAAGTTAACTTTATAACAAACTATACAGAGAAGAATTTCTCTTTTAAGCAACTTTAAACCACAGTAATTTGACCGCACAGCCCTACAGGTGTATACCCTATGAACAAAAACAATCACACTGAAACCTTCAACTGCACTCAGTGCTGTTAGTAATAATGACATTGGGTTTTGAAACTATTAAATAGATTCTTTAGGGTAAAACAAATAACTAATAATTTTAAGGCCACTAGGAAGCCAAATTTTCAGCAAAAAAAGATACAAATATATAATCAAAAGGGATGTATGTGAAAACACTGTCCCTTTTTATTTAAACTGGAAATACAAGTAGGACCTCATGATTTACTTTTCTCTTTCTAAAAAACACTTATTTCCTAGCTCTGTCCACTAAAAAGGCCTGGAAACAAAGACAACAGGGTAACAATAATCATTCTAAAATTTAATTTCCCACTAAAAGGAATCAGGGCTTCTTGGAGAAATAAATTAATCTTGGTTTTAAGCAAGAAAAGTACAAGATGAGTCTGGGACATTTTGTTGTGCCTGGAAGCAAAAAAGCTATCCAAACAATTGGATTCATGTCAGAGACACAGGAGCCAATTTTAAGGGGATCCTGTGGTCTAAAGATGGGACAATGTTTTCATCAGATAGAATGACTTTAACAGAATGAAATATAAACATGCAGAAAAAACCATGAGTTCATAATATTAGAAACAAAACCTTCACTGTCCCTTTTATTGGATGTAGGGCATCAACTCTTTATTTTAGGGGGAAAAAAAAGGGAGAAGGTAAATAATATACCTTATTTTCTATAAACTGTGTAATTAATGAAAGTTCTTTTTTACAGAAGAATCATAACTAATAAATATAAAAGAAATGACAAAATTAGAGTATCTCTAGTTTGCAACCCCTAATGAAATAATGGATCATTGGTTGCTAAAACCGTCAGGTGAACACATTGATGAATCTTAATATAACTATTTAAAGGCATTATATGATTTGTAATATAAAAATAGGAAACATATACAGTAACACCTATGAATAGTCTTGTGAAAAAATCTGAACATGAATCTTATTAAGCCTCTAGACCTACCTCTGTTTATAGGAAATACGGAAGACAGAGACATGTTAAACAACATCACCATGTCAAATCAGCCAAAATGAGAGAATGTGGAAAATTCTACAAGACAAAGTAAGTTTCTTCAATGAATAAATGGTATGGAAAAGGGACAAAGGGAGAGGAAAACGCTGCAGCTTTAAGGGATTAAGAGAACAAAATATCAAACGAAAACAATGTGTAGACCTTGCTTAGATCCTGATTTGAACACAAGGGTAAAATGACATTTTTAAAGCAATCAGGGAAAACTGAACTCGACAGCATGTCAGATAATAAAGACAAGTCTGTTAGTTTTGGGGTTTCAATTAATGGTATTGTGGTTATTTATTTATTTAAAGTTGTTTTCTATCAGAGATACATAATAAAGTATTTCTGGGGGAAATTATATGATATCTAGGCTTTTCTTTAAACTACTCCAGGTAGAAAAAAAATGTAGGGTATGAATGAAACAAGAATGGCAAGATGGTGATTCTGCTGAGGTTCAAGGTCAGATAACTGTGGGTTCTTTATATATTTATCTCTGCTTTTAGCAATGGCTGAAAATCTCCTTAATAAAAAGTTAAAAAAAAAAAAAAATGTGGTAAGGTACCTATCAGGGAGGTACAGATAGAGAACTGTGGAGGGTCAGGAGGGTGTGTTTGAAAATATCTGTAATAAAATGTTAAAAAGATAAATAATCTTCAAAGAATATATTAATAACATTATATAACAAACAAAAAGTTACAGAGAAAGAGATCCTACTATCAATAAAAAACCACCTGTACGTTTGTGTTGCTGGGGAGGAGGAAGAGATTTTACTTTTTACTTTATGCACTCATGAAATTATTTTCACATGGATGATGCATTATTCTGGTAATAAAATAAATACTTAAAAATCTTACCTGAGAAATGTTCTTGGAGGCCATTGTTTGCAAAAGGGCCCTCAAGGCACTACTAATGGCTTCTAGAAAGTCAGTATGTTTAGTAAAATCTAAAACACAAAAATGAAATATATGTCTACTTTGCAGATAAAGAAATAGAATAAAAGCAATGCAAACAGAAAGGTTAATATGCTATTATAATGAAACCACTTTTGATGTTTAAGCCAAAACTTCTCATCTGTAGCGCCTAGAAACAGCATACTTCAGTTTACGTTCTTACACCAATGCTCTAGTAATGTGATCTATTTAAAGTTATATTTTTGTCCTTTCCTAGGATGCAAAAACCAAAAGAACATGTTGCTATTGAGTGGATTCTAATTCACAGCAACCCTACAGTACAGAGTACAACTGCCCTGCAAGGTCTCTAAGGCTGAATCTTCACAGATGCAGACTGCCACATCTTTCTCCCGCAGAGCAGCTGGGGGGTTCACACCACTTACCTTTTGCTTAGCAATCAAGCACTTAGCCACTGCACTGCGAGGGGTACTTTTAGGATGTACAGGCAAAAAGTGTTTACCTGTATTTTACTGACTACACAGAGGCATTGTGTGGATCACAACAAATTATAGATAATACTGCAAAGAATGAGTATTTCAGAACACTTAATTGTGCTCAGGCAGAACCAGTATATAGACCAAGAAACAATTATTCAAACAGCACAAGGGCATTCTGCACAGTTTAAAATCAGGAAAGGTATGTTGCAGGGTTATATCCTTTCACCATATATACTCAATCTGTATAATGAGCAAATAATCCAAGAAACTGGACTATATGAAGAATGCAGCATCAGGATTGGAAGAAGAATCATTAATAGTCTGCAATATGCAGGTGACACAACCTTGCTTGCTGAAAGGGATGAAGATTTAAAGCAATTATTAATGAAGATAAAAGACTACAGGTTTCAGCATGAATCACCCCTCAACATTAAAAAAAAAAAAAAAACCTTCACAACTGGCCCAGTAAGCAACATCATGAAAAACTGAGAAAATACTAAGTTGTCAAGAATTTCATTTTACTTTAATTCACAATCACTGCCCACAGAAACAGCAGTCAAGAAATCAAACATATTGCATTGGGCAAATGTGCTGCAGAAGACCTCTTTAAAGTGTTAAAAATCAAAGACGTCACACTTTGAGGAATAAGGTGCGCTCGACCCAAGCCATGGTATTTTCAATTGCCTCGCATGCATGCAAAAGAAGAATTGATGCCTTTGAATTATGGTGTTGGCGAAGAATACTGAATACACCACGGACTGCTAGAAGCAGCAGCAAATCTGTCTTGGAAGAAGTACAGCCAGAATGCATTTTAGGAGTGAGGCTGGCAAGACTTTGTCCACATATGCTAGACAAGTTATTAAGAGGGACCGTTCCTGGAGAAGGACATCATGCTTGGTGGATAGAGGGGTCAGCAAAAAAGAGAAGATCTTCTATGACATGGACTGACACAGTGACTACAACAGTGGACTCAAACACAGCAATGACTGTGAGGATGGCACAGGACCGGGCAGCGTTTTGTTCTGTTACACAAGGTCTTTATGAGTTGGGACCAACTCGATGACACTGAGCAACAACAACATGAGAGAATATTATGAACATATCTATAGCAACAAACTGGACACCCTAGATGAAATGGACAAATTCTTAGTAGCACATAAACTACCCAAACTGACTCATAAGGAAATAAAAAGTCTCAATATCTCAATAGATGCATAATAAGTGAAGAGATCTAATCAGTGATCAAAAATCTCCCCCCCCTCAAAAAAAATCCTAGACCAGATGGTTTTATGGGAGAATTCTACCAAACATTCAGGGAAGAATTGTCACCGATACTGTTTAAAGTCTTCCAAAAGATAAAGAAAGAAGGAACACTCCCTAATTCATTCTATAAAGCAAACATACCCCTCACCACCAAACTAGACAAATACACCACCAAAAAAAAACAAAACAAACCAAACACACTGCCGTTGAGTCAGATCCAACTCATAGCAACCCCTCCTTGGGTTTCCAAGGTGGTATCACTACAGAAGCAGATTGCCCAACCTTCATTCTGAGGAGCGGTTGGTGGGTGTGAACCATCAGCCTTCTGGTTAGCGGTCTAATGCCTTAGGCACTATGCCACCAGAGCTACAAGCCAGTATCTCTTATAAATGTAGATACAGAAATCCTCAATGAAATACTATTGAACAGAATCCAACAGTATATTTAAAAAGTCATACACCATGACCAAGTGGGATTTATTCCAATAATGTAGGGATGATTATGATTATTAGCAAGTCAATCAGCTAATATACCACATCAACAGAACAAAGGAAAAGAATCACATGATCATCTCTATGGGTGCAGAATAAACACCTGATAACATACAACACTGTTTCTTGGTGAAAACCATAAAGAAGACTGGAACAGAATGGCAATTCCTTAATATGACTCAGGGCATATATGAAAAGTCAACAGCCAACATCATACTAGATGGAGAAAGAAATAGAGCTTTCACCATGTAAAAGGGAACAAGACAAGGGTGCCTGCTTTCATCACTTCTAGTCAATACTCTATTAGAAGTCCTAGCTAGAGTAATAAGAAAAAGAAAAAAAGATACCCAGATTGGAAAAGAAATAAAATTATCTGTATTTGTAGATGATATAATCCTCGGAAGGAAGGTTGGGCAATCTACTTCCGTAATGATACTGCCTTGGAAACCCAAGGAGGGGTCGCTGTGAGGGGGGGCCAACTCGACAGCACACAACAACAACAACATGATCCTATATATAGAAAATCCCAAAGAATTCACAGAAAACTTTTAGAGCTGATAGAGGAATTTAGCAAGTTGCAGAGTATAAGGTCAACAAATGAAAGTAAGTTGGGTTTCTATACACCAATAATGAAATTCTGAAAGAGAAATTAGGGTAAAATTCTATTTACAATATCATCTAAGAGAATAAAATACCTAGGAATAAATCTAACCAGGGACATGAAGGACTTATACAATGAAAATTATAAAACACTGCTGAAAGAGATTAAAGAACACTTTTAAATGCAAAGATGTTCCAAGTTCATGGATTGGAAGACTTAATATTGTTAAGATGTCAATACTACCCAAAGCGATGCAATCCCAATTAAAATTCTATCAGCCTTCTTTACAGAAATAGAAAAAGCAATCATCAGCTTTATATGGAATCCCAAGAGGCCCCAAATAGTCAAAACTATGTTGAGAGAGAAGAGCAAAGCAGGCAGTATCACACTTCCTGGTATTAATAAACATACTATACAGCTACAGTAATCAGAACAGCCTGGTACTGGCGTAACAATAGACACACAGATCAATAGAATAAACTGAGAGTCTAGAAACAAACCTACATTATCTATGGTCAATTGATTTTTGATAAGGATGCTAAATCCATTTAAAGGGGAAAGAAAGAAGAGTCTTTTCAATAAACGGTGCTAGGAAAATTGAATTTCCACATGCACAAAAATGAAACAGGATCCATTCCTCCTACCACACACAAAAACAAATTCAAAATGGATTAAGGACCTAAATGTACAACTAAAACCATAAAATTCTTAGAAGAACAAGGAGGGGCAATGTTATCAGGCCTAGCTTTCAACGAATTATGTAATAATAAAAGCACAAACAGCAAAAGACAAAATAATGGGATCTCATAAAAATTAAAAATTTTGTTCCTTAAAAGATATTACCAAAAAAGTGAAAAGGCAAGCTATCAACTAGGAGAATATCTTTAGAAACCATATACCTGATAAGAATCTAATAACCAAAAAATATAAAAAAACTTTGACAACTTAACAAGAAAAAGACAACCCAGTCATAAAATGGGCAAAGGACTTGAATAGACATTTCACCAAAGAGGACATTCAAATGGCCCAACCAATGAAAAGATGCCGAGTTTCACTGGCCATCAGAGAGATACAAATTAAAATCACAATGCGATACCATTACAAAAATAAATAAATAAATACAAAATAACAAATGTTGGCAAGGATGTGGAGAAACTGGAGTCCTTGTCCGTTGCTGGTGGTAATGGTAGAATAATTGTGGAAAACAGTGTGGCAGTTCCTCAAAAAACTAAAAATAGAGCTATCATATGACTCAGTTATGCCACTCAGAGACACCCAAAAGACATAAGCAGAGACTGAAAAAGAGACTTGTACACCAATGTTCATTGCAGCACTATGCACCATACCCAAAAGGTGGAAACAAGCTACATGCCCAGCAATAGATGAATGGATAAACAAAACGTGGTACATACATACAATGGTACACTACTCATCCAGTAGGGGAAATGAAATCTTGATACATGCTAGAGTATGGATGGAGCTTGAAGACATTATGCTGAGTGAGATAAACCAATCGGATAAGGACAAATATTATATGGCCTCACTTATGTAAAAAGAGAGGAAAAGGCAAACGTACAGGGACCAAAGTTTATTAGTGGCTACGGGGGGGGGCAGGGAAAGAGAGTTTAACAGTTATACAATGGGAAAAAGAGTAGCTGCTGAGGCTGCTTATGTATACCAAATCCCTCATGGGATTTGGTTCCTTGGTTTGGAGGTTTAGGGTCATGGTTTCATGGGACATCCCAGTTAACTCGCCTAATAACATGTTTAGTGCTTGTGTTCCTTATTTGTTGTGTTGTGCTTGGGGTCTTAAAAGTTTGCAAGTTGCCATCCAAGGCACAATAACTAGTCTCTATTCACCTAGAGCAACAGAGGAAGGAGGAGAGTCAGGAATTGGAGAATATGGAATGTGTGGTTAGTTGCCTCCATGAACAACTGCTTCCTTTGCCATGAATGCAGAAGAACCAGCTACCATTACTGAACATTTGGCTTAAAGATTCCATAGAAGAATCCTGACTAAAAGGGGAAAATGCAGAACAAAATTTCAAATTCTTATGGAGTCTAACTTTCTGGGGCCATGGAAGCTGAATGCACCCCTGAAACTATTGTCCTGAAATAATCTTTAAACCTTAAACCAAAAATGTCCCCTGAAGGTATCTTAAAACCAAACAACAGTTTAGCTTAAGTAGTGAAAAACATCTGCCTTGAGCATCATGCTCTTTTAAGAACTATCTAGATGATATCAAATGGACGACAGCAACTTGAAAGATTAGATTGGAATTTTAAAGGGCAGTGAGTTTATGTTAATGAGGAAGGAACAACCCAGAAAAGGAGGGTAAGGATGGTTGCACAACTCACAGAATATAAACAATGTCACTGAATGTACATATAGAAACTGCCGAATTGGTTATGTTTTGCTATGCATATTCTTCACAACCAAACCTACTCTATGAAACGGAATAACCAGAGTGAAATTCAACAGAATGTTGACACACTGTGGAAAATGCAACTAATGTCACTGAACAATTTGTATAGAAACTGTCAAATGGGAACTTATTTGCTATGTAACCTTTCACCAAAAACAAAAAATTATTATTTAAAAATAAAATAAACAACACCGAGAAGAAACGTGCTCCTTAGAATGATCAACTATAATAGACCAAAGGGGCAACATCTGCCCAAAACAAAGATGAGGAGTTAGTGAGGGGTAGGATAATGGGATGAATGGAAATGGGGAATCCAAGGTGGGAATGGGGAAAGTGCTGACACATTGTGGTGATTGCAACCAGTGTCACCGAGGAATCTGTGTATGAACTATTGAATGGAAAATTAATCTGCTATGTAATAAACATTCACTGAAAGCACAATAAAGTATTAAAAAAATTAAAAAATTAACCCACAAGTAATCTAGCATCCAATATTTAGATGACTCTTCCAAACTGATTTTCAGTTCCCTAATAAGGACCGGAAAGCATGCTGGATAGAAGAATTTCCCAAACAGTTTGGGTTGTTGGTGGTTGGTTTTTCTCCAAAATCTGGAAAATCAGGGAACCCTAAATGATTCTGGAACCCATGCAATGGAACAAAATGACAGAGTGACCCAATATAAAAATACAATATTGTTAAAAATTTCTAGACACTTTTGAAGATCAACAGTTTGTTTTGTTTTGATTTGTTGAAGACATAGAGAGCAAAACACACATCAATTCAACAATTTCTTCATGTACAATTCGGTGACAATGGTAACATTCTTCAAACTGTGCTACTTTTCTCCCTATCCTTTTCCAAATTGTTTTACCATCATCAACACAAACTCACTGTCCCCTAAACTTCCATCTGCCCTTTCAAGTTGCTATTGTCAACTTGAGAAAATAACAATTTTTAATGGAAGAGACAGATATATTAATGTTTTGAATAGATGATCCAGTTCCTACTGAAGAAAACTTGAGTCTCCTTTTGTAACATAATGTAGCTGTAAACATAATGTAGGAAAATACAGAGTATAACAAATGTTGTAACTATTCAGAATTGTATTTTTTGCATTAAAACTAAAATAAGTTAAGATAGAATGATATGATCCTCATATATTTAACACTCATAGTAACCACGGTAAAACCACACAGTATACAGTTCAGTCCTATCCTCCTCACCAAATTCTCCAATCATTGTTCAGACTATTAATACAGAACCCACAGAATTACATTATTTGATAAATTCCAAATGTTTAAAGCCCAGAGCCATTTTAATGACAATCTTCCTTACATCAACAGCTTTTCTCCTATTGCGTGTACTGTGAATCCATCCTATGTAGAAGATCAATTCAGATTACAGACCTCTCAAAGAATCATAAAGCCAACGTCATTAGATGAATAAACCAAACCAAACTCACTGCCACCAAGTCAATTCCGATTCACAGCAACCCCCATTGGGTTCCAAGGCTGTAAATCTTTACAAAAGCAGACTAACTCATCTTTCTTCTATGAAACAGCTGGTAGGTTTGAACCACTGACCTTCTGGTTAGCAGTCAAATGTCTTAACCACTACACCACCAGAGCACCTTCATTAGATGAACAGAATTTCAAAACACTGTAGTGACAGGGACCTGTAATTGGTTATCTCTGTCAAAACAGACATATGACTTTCAGGATACATAAAAAAAGTGTTATTAACCTAGCAGCACGTCACATTTTTGTACCTTGAAAAAAAGAAAGATTCTGTCGATGAACAGCCATGAAATAGGAATTTATTTAAAAATCAAAGTGCTTAATTACATCTTCCCACAATTCAGAAACTTTCCATTATTTCTCCAGGTATCAGCTTGGTATAATCTTCCCATGATCTTTCTAGGCAATGAATATTCAAACATCAGAAATCACAAATAGCCATAGAACTGGGAGAAAATATCTAAGAATGAAACTCTTCATGCTGGTTGGAGACGGGGCCTGTAGTACCTTACTGAGAGATGGCCTAGAGATAAGAGATGGCTGACTGTGGAACTAGGGCAGGCAGGGTTACCTCAATGTTTGGCAGGGCTTGGAGACAATAAGAAACTTGGGTAAGTCCTGTGGTCCTGGTCACCTGGGGCCCTGGTTGTAGACTCCCGCATTTGGCCCTGTTCCCCATTCTCAACCTATGGGAACAGATGATGGGAATGGACACGAGCAATAGCTCTTTCTACCCCATGGGACACTCTGTTAGGCTGATGGGAGCCAGAATCCCAGCAAAAGCCAGAGAAAGTCCCTTCCCCAAATACCACCAGATCCCGTCCAGGTTTCTAAGAAGGCTAGGAAGAAATATAAAGCTACAGTCCGCATCTGGGTTGCTCATACTGACAAGCCATCCTGTACTCCAGCACTTGCCTGGTCCTGGCTCAGAATGGGAACAGAGGGTAGCACTGGCCTAGACTATCATATAAAACGCTTCAGTGTGGCTATATATCGCTTTCCTGTGATCCCTCCAATCAGTGAATGCACAAACAGCCCAAGATTACTCGAAAATTACATTTGTTAATGGACAAATGGGGAAGGTTGCTAGAAACAGATTAACAACTCTATCAGTTTCTAAGAAATACAGAAGAAATTGTCTACTTAATTATTAATTTACAGAAAACTAATCAATTTTTCTAAAACATGCACCATTAAACATACAACACCTCTTATGAATGTCATAGAATGCAAACAGATGTTTAAAAAACTAAAGATTAGTGTTTGAATTTTATTCAGAAACTTGTATTTAATCAAAAGCAACCAATATGTTGATCTTTGAAGAGCTCAATTCTTCCTTTGAACAATCAACCATAGCAGATCAAAAGGGCAGCATCTGCCCAGGGATAAAATTCAGAAGGCAGGAAGGGATAGAAAAGAAGGACTAATGGGAACAGGAAACACAGGGAGGAAGTGGGAAGAGGGCTGTTAAATTGTAGGGTTGCAATCAATATCCCAAAACAAAATCTGTTATGAATTCTTGAATGGAAAACTAATTTGTTCTGTAAATTTTCACCCAAATCACAATTGGAAAAAAAAAGTTCAACTCTTACACGTAATGCTCTAAGAGAAGTATTAAGCAGTTTACACTGAAATCTATCAATAATATATTCAACTTAACAAGTGGAGTTATATCTTATTTGGTGGTTAGATTCTGAAGTCAGTGAAGAAATCAAATGTGACACTTCGAGTTTTTCCTGCAAAAACCCCTAATGATACTCTGAACCTGAGAGGGGTTGAGAGAGCAGCAGATCAGACCCACGCCTCTCTTCAGACCCTCACTTCAGACGCATGTTGGGGGCGGGGAGGAGAATGGCCTTTACTATATAAATTATTATTTTTTTCCTCTCTATCTTTATTGTCTGTTTTAAGCTCTTATAGTTTAAAGTGGCCAATTTAAATGAGATTCCGCTAAAAGAACACACATCAAACCATGTGGAGCTAGGTCATTTTATAAGAATAGTTATCTAGGGTACCTCTCTAGGTGTTTGTATACAAATAAAATTAATCATATCAGAGTCCTACGACTTAGAGATTCAGCTCCTACCATGCAAAGGTGTTTGAAGAAAGATATGCTAGGTAAAAAAAGCAAAGTGTGGAATCGTGCGCACAGTGTTCTGCTATTTTCCTTCACACACACACAGACATACATACTTGTATCTACGGGATCTCTCTGTAATACACAAGAAACTGGTAATAGAGGCTTACGTCGGGGAAGGAATTGGGTAGCTATAGGATGAAGGAGGGAGGCTTTCCGCTTTATGTCCTCTAACAATTGTTGACTCAGGAGGAAGGTTGGGCAATCTACTTCCATAGTGATACTGCCTCGGAAACCCAAGGAGGGGTCGCTGTGAGTCAGATCCAATTTGACGGCAATGAGTTTGGTTTTTTTTTGCTGGTTAACTTTTGAATTCTATAGTACACATGTGGATTACCCAATCAAATAAAAATCAAGTGATGGAAAAATTTGGGAACAGATAAGGTTGATGGTTGACCAACATGATGAACTTAAGTTAATACCATTGAACTACTTATGTGAAGATTTGTTCAAAAAGCAAATGTTTTGTTATATATATTATGTATAATTACACATTATATATATGAACATAAATACATATATAATTACATATATATAGATTATATAAATCAAATGGTTTATATTTATGGGGAAAAAAACAGATCACCCAAATAGTTTAATGGGGCTAATATTTACACTATTTGTGATTCAGCCTTAATTAGCTTGACACAATTAGATGCAAACAATTTTCACGCAGAAGAAAAACAGAACCCACAGATCTGCTTCTGCACTTTGTTCTGACTCTATGCTGCTGGCAAGTATAAGTACTGTACATGACTGTTAGTGACTGGAAAAGCTTTCTGCAGATTGGGTGACAAACTGTATAATCCCAAGTCCAAGTTTCTGCCTATTCAAAATTCTGCTCCGAGCAAGCCTTCTTTCACAGTAAGGGCTAAATATTTACCTGGCTGAGAAAAAAGAAGTTGGGACAGATGTTGCGCAAGTGTCTGAAGGGCTGGAGCTCCTCCAAGATGGTCCACATCCAGGAGGGACACAAGGCTCTGGAGACACACAAGGGCTCTACACTGGAGAGTGTTCATTCTGGAAAGGAAGTGGAATAAAGCAGTCTGTTCCTCTAACAGTGATGAAGAGAATTATGAACAGAATTCAGTAGTAACTTTGAACCTAAGCTTCATGTTCTGACTGGGAATACCTATAAAGAGAAGGAGGTCTATGGCAGTTAGCAAAGAATCTTAAGGTGAATCTCTCCAATCAAATTGCTTGAGCAGTCAGGCCTCTCAGTCATTCATGTGTCATAAAGAATCTGCTTTACAAAAATTTTTATGCAAGGTATCATCTTTAAAAAAATTTTGAAATATGACATATATATACAGTAAAATGCCTAACACACACACAGAATTTAACAAAATGTTTATATAAAGCAATCACCCTTGAAACCCCCATCTAGGCAAGAAACAAACACTGCTAACCCCATCACAGCCCACTTATCTCTTCCCAATCACACCCCACCTCCCTGACCCCCAGAGGTAACCACTACCTAGACTTTTATGGTAAACATTTCATTGTTTTTCTTAATATTTATCACTATGTATGCATTTCTAAACAGTACTGTTTAGTTTTGTCCATTTTTTAATTTTATGTAATGGAATCATAGTGTACATATGCAGTTCTTTCTTTTCTGGATCAACACTGTAAGTTTCATCCATGTTGTGAGTAGTTCTAGTTTGGACACCTTTTATTGCTGTATGTATTCTCCTGTATGATTATGTCAGAATTTATCCATTCTACCACTGATGGACACTGGGGCTGTTTTCGGGTCTGGGCAATTACGATCCACATTGCTGTGAATATTCTCACATGTGTAGCCTAGTGCACACATGCACACGTTTCTCTAGGGTATATATTCAGGAATGGAACTGCTGGGTCTTAGGGAGTCAGAACCTTCTATTTAATGGCCTATCATTTCATATAATAAGATAATGACAAATTATTTTGAAAATAGAAAAATTCTTACTTTCTAATCAAAGGTTTCCATGTAGGGCTCTTAGAACATAAGTCAACTGCAATGTTGTTTGGAAAGGAAGTTTTCTCAATAACCTGGATGTAAGAAAGCCAGTAAAGCAACAAGTTATAAGAGCAGAGTCATCTTACACATCATTCCTTTATAGAAATTCTAACAAATGACTTCTAACTGGAATGGTTAGGCTTGAAAAAGACATAATGACCTTCTAGGCTACTTCCAGTACTGTTGTTTTGCTTCCCAGATCTTACCACTTACCTAAACTTGAAAGAGTGAGCTTACTTCTTTTCTGCTTACAGAATTAATAGCTATCTAAACCCTTTCCCATGCTCCATAATAATCCTAGAATGAAAACAGATTACCTTCTTTGGGATGAGATAGTTGGTGAGCGCGGCGTGAACCTCATGGGAGAGGCATAGGGGAGACAGCAGCTGCCCATCACACTCACTGAAGGAAGTCTCCATAAACACATCACTTTCATCACTGCTAGAGAGCTCTTCCCACTCGTCGTCGGAAGGATCTGGAAAGAGTACAAAGCACACATAACTGTAATACTTAAGAAAATCCTCATGAAAGCTCCCTCTCAGCCCAGGGAAAAATGTCTAACTATAAACTTGTAACAAACCTTCACTGCAGCACATGTTGACAATAATTTCCAGAGCGGTTTGCTGAGCTGACAGCAGTGCTGTGATCTGTCTCAGTTCCTTGTCAGTAGGCTGAAAAAGCAAACAACCAACTCTCAATGCTTGGAGACATACTTTTGAGTGAATTTCCTTAGTTTAAAACTATGGGAAGATTTTTGCACTTGGAACAGAGGACACGGGGTGGCAGGGGTGGGAAAAAGTCATAAAGTGCTAGAATGACAAACAGGCATTACAATTCCTCTTGGCACTGTGGTACGTGCCACTGTTAACTAGGTGTCCATCTAACTGTATGGTTACTCTTTAAGTGTTGCTTGTTAGCTGGAGAGAACAGATAAATATTCAGGAATTCTGAACTGAATTCACCCTGCAACTCAATCCAACGTGTTAAGTAGGCTGGCATACTAAGGTTAAAGCAAAGAGTGTATTTCAGATACCAGACACTTATACACAACAAACTACTTTCAGAGGCAAGCCATACTCTCAGAGAGAGGTACATTAACAAGCACTAGTAGCAACTCCTTATATGACAAACAGAGCTGGACTAGGGGCAGACAGGCTTGCTTCCTGGCTTTCTCTGAAGACTATTTTATTAGTCTGAAGACTATTTGAGACTGAAGAATGAGGGGTACTTTCTCTCTGAAAATTTATAACATGAACTTAAATTTATCAATTAACATTTCTAAAAATGGATAGTACATATTTACATGATTTTCAAATTGCTTATGAAAAGTGACAGAGCCATGCTGATACTCAAAAATAGTACATAAGCTAAAAGTAGTGGATTTTTCTCATGTATCTTCCAATGAATGTGGGGTGTAGTATATTACCTGGTATAGCTTTTCTAGCCATAAGTCTTTGTAAACTCCATGGTGGAATTTGCCATGAGCAACTGAGTAGCTCCTGATTGTGAAATTACCCACCTGGGGTATTTCTGTTGAGCGTAGTACCAAGTAATTTTCCGGGAAGTTTGCTCTCTCTCAGGTGTATAGAATTCTGATGTTGGGATTGGTTAGTGGTCACTCTGCCAGGCTCAAAAGGAGCCCTTCTAGAGGCAGAAGTCTCTCTGACTGTTGGCTGAGAAAGACATGCTGCTGAGAGAAATGTGCTCCTGAGAGACACACACCGCTTGGAGAGAGACTGAGAGAGACAGTTGGCTGAGAGACGGCAGGCTGAAAGAGACTTAGCATTGTTCCTGAACTTGTATTGTAGCCTGGTGCTTCCCTAATAAGCCCCATAATCTGTGAGTTCTGTGTGGCTACTGCATTGAATTACTGAATCCAGCAGAGACGTGGTGGGTGCTGCAGGAGGAATGGCTGGTATCAGGGTTGATGAAAGGGCCGGAGGAAGGCAGCGTGTCTGGCCTCACAGGAATAGGCCTTGGGCTATTGATGGAGATTCTGTCTTCCTCTTGTGGGGTTAGAGGAGGTCAGAAGATGTGGCCTCCCTGCCCCTTTGCCAGAATGTTTCCTAATGTCAACAGTTTTCTAATTGTGTTCTTAATGGCAACATAATATTCCATTACATCAATGTACAAGAATTTACTAAGCATTCCACAGGTATGGGATAATTCAGATTATTTGAGCATCTTCTTTTCTTAGATTCACTGGGTCAGAGTAGAGTGAAAACACATCCATAAATCCTGTGACAGTTCCATGTTCTGCTCTAGATGTTCATACTCGTTTACAATCCCACCAGTAACTTGTGTAACAATTTTACTACAACTTTGAACTATATCCTTATAGAAAAAGCTAATTTAATAGCTGTAGCCCAGGAATCCCTAAATTTGTATTTCTTTTATTACTAGCAACAATGTACATGAACTCAATTAGTAAAGAAGTCTGCCTTGAGCATTGCTGTAAAGTATAGATGAGAAGTTTAGGGAACAGTGAATCTAAGCTAATGGTAGTAAAATAACTTGGGGATAGCGAGAATGGTAACACAATGTGAAGAATGAAACCCATGTCACTAAATTTGTACATGTAGATATTACTGAATGGATGTGTGCTTGGCTGTGTATATTTTCAAAAAAAAAAAAAAAAAAGAACATATATAAAACCCATCCTTATTGGCTTTGTGTATGATGCTCAACAAAACAAACATTTCTTAGAGGAGATTCAAAGCTAAATAAGCCATGTTGTTGGTAAGTTCATCCACCTAACAATGTACAAAGATCTGGCTTAGAAGGAACTCTCAAATTATGTCCCACTTCTTCATGTAACTCTCCAACTCAGAACATTTCCCTATTTATTGTAATCAAACTAACGTTAAAAAAAACCTACATGAAATGTTGTAACATCTGAGATTTGCTTCAAAATACTTGGTAGAGAAAGGGGAGAGGAAGTCAAGATTCACGAAATATAGGAAACTAAGCAGGCCATGAAGTGTTAATTGGAAACTGTTCACACTGGGCAGAGGGAACTCTGCTATTACATATGTCTACAAAACAACCATACTTGGGTTGAACTGCTCTTTCTTACATATTTGTATTTATAACTTAAGTTAAGCAATGCAATGAAGGGTTTTGATTCTAAAGGACTCCTGCACAACTCACACAGCTATCAGGCAGAGTGAAAGATGACAGCTGACTGACGCTCTGTATTCCTGGCACATGACAGCACGATGCCTAGCACCCTACTGGCACTTGAATCACTGGCTGACTGACCAGCAAATTAAACTTTCAGGCTACTCAGTTATGTTAATAAGACTTCAAAAAGCAAGATTTTGCTATGAGAAAACATTTCATTTGTTAAGCACCAAAATTCTACTTTTAAATGATGCATAAGAAAGAAAATCTCTAAATAACAGTTAAAAATCAATGGTTTTTAAACAGTGGCAAATCCTATCTTAATGTCTTCAGTTGAAGACTTGGCTCCTTGCTTGCTCCATTTAGGAAGCCCCTGGAAGCAAGGCTGGAGATAGGGGAATTGCCAGCAATGCCATTTTCTCCTTTCAGTGCCATGGGAGTTCCCTGACAGCAGGACTGTCATTTCCGTTTCTGCTCTGACAGGAATATGGAGTGGTAAAACACTCTGTACTTGCATCTGTTAGAGCAAACTGAGACCTGACTGGTACAATGCAAAGAGCTGAAAAAGAGCCTCCAGGCACTGATTCATCATATCTCACTTTCTGCAAATGGATGTGAACGAAGTCCATCCCTGATAGCTTAACCTTCTTGTGATTATTGAAGAGATGACACTGCTAGGGTTTTTTACGTTCCTCCTGGAACACAAGGAGCACACCAGTGCCTTCATCTACATAACGTTCCCCAAAAAAACCAAACCTAGTGGTGTCAAGTCAATTCCAACGCATAGCTGACTTTAAATTCTATGGACTCTGACATAGTCAGATGCAACAAGTGGGGTTCAAATACCTAGCCCCTGCAGCAAAAGGTGGTGCTATGATTTTCAACCCACTTCATGATCTGCAAGCAACTCAAAAACAGGATGGCTTTCTCATTTCTGTATCTTCCCCAGCACATAACACACCACTTTGGACCTAATAGCTATTTGTGGGGGAAAAAATTTGATTTCTTTAAAGCCCCACTAATTTATACATTTCAAGACATCATGAACACAAACAAAGCAAAACACTATATATATATTGGGTAAAATTTTATTAAAGCTCTAACACTGACTTAAATAATCCTCAATTTATTTTCAGTGAATCAGGACAGGCCATATCTGAAATTACAGACAAAGGGACAGAATGCTAATACCATCATCTTGTAGAAAAAGTGCCCAGAACATTAACACTATTCTCTTCCAGTTCAGGCTTCATCATCGTTCTTCAAAATGACTTCAGTAGCCTCTTGACTGGTCTCCCTGCCTCCAGGCCCTTATATTCTAGCCCCATCTGGCTGTCCAAGTGGTCTCCCTAAACCCTAACCTACTGTCACCATGCTGCTTCTTACCTATCTCATTTGCAAGACAACTCAGGCATTTTGTCCAAAAAATCTTCTCGGATAGGCTCTTCTTTTCCTCTCCCATCAGGGATGGGTTAGACATGCCTACTCTACAGAAATAACTCCTTAGAAATCAATGCACAGCCCTATAACTTAGCAAAGACATAATTAAGGGTTGATAGCCCTGCTTTCCCTGAATGGGGGAGGTTCATGGGGACAGGAAATATACCTTAATCATCTTTCTAGCTTCATTACCTAGCACAGTGCCTGAATGGGGGAGGTTCATGGGGACAGGAAATATACCTTAATCATCTTTCTAGCTTCATTACCTAGCACAGTGCCTGAAACATCAGAATGCAAACACGTGTATACTTGAATGAATAAAGCTCAACTCACTGTCGTCTCTGACTTCCTGCCCTTTTCGTTCTGCTCCTTGAGGAGCAAAGAACAGCTCCTACTCTGTTGACTGGCTCAGCTGAAGTAATTTCTGTATCCAAGATAGCTTACCCGGATAGCAACTTCACACCCACTAGCAGGTATATGCTGCAATCATCCAGTCTGTAAAAGCTACAAATCATCATTAACTCCCTTAATCACCCAATCTCCTCTGCTCAGCAGTAACAGATAAATGAAGTTTGACTCACCACTCTGGTAAGGCTAAATGTTAAAATAAAGAGACAAAAATGCAAAGATCAAACTAGAAAGGCTCATACTTCCTGATCTCAAAATGAACGATGCTTTGGGTCTTGGTATTTAACAACTGATCCTTATATATGACACCAAAAACACATGAAACAAAAGACAAAATAGGTTAAGTTGGACTGCATCAAAATTAAAAATTTTTGTTTATCAAATAAAGTGAAGAAAACAAGCTACAGATTGGGAGAAAATTTTGGGGAAACATGTATATGAAAAGGGTTTAATATTCAGAACTCCTAAAAATTAACTAAAGATAAGCAAATCAAAAAATGAGCAAAGGCAAGGAAAATTTAGGCTCAAACTTAAGGGCCCTAATATTTGGTATAAATAGACTACCAAGCATAATTCAAAATGCACCAACAGCAGAAGAGAAGCCAGATGATTGGGACCTTCTAAAAATTAAATGTTTATGTGCTTCCAAAGACTTCTCCAAAAGAGTCAAAAGAGAACCTACAGATTGGGAAAAAATATTTGGTAATAACATATCTGACAAGGGACTTATCTCTAGAATTTATAGAACACTCCAACACCTCAATAACAAAAAGACAAACAATCCAATTAAAAAATGGGCAGAAGACATGAATAGACACTTCACCAAGGAGGATATTCAAGCGGCCAACAAACATATGAAGAAATGCTCACGATCATTAGCTATTAGAGAGATGCAAATCAAAACAACAATGAGATACCATCTTGCTCCAGCACTAGTAGCAAAGTTCAACAAGACAGAAAATAACAAATGCTGGCGAGGTTGTGGAGAGATTGGGACTCTCATACACTGCTGGTGGGACTGTAAAATGGTACAACCATTGTGGAAAGCAGTATGGCGATTTCTTCAAAAGTTGGAAATACAAATACCATTTGACCCAGCCATCCCATTACTAGGTATATACCCTAAAGAAGTGAGAGCCATGACAAGAACAGATATATGCACGCCGATGTTCATCGCAGCACTATTTACAATAGCCAAAAGTTGGAAACAATCTAGATGTCCATCAACTGAGGAATGGATAACCAAACTTTGGTACATTCACACAATGGAATACTATGCAACGCTAAAGAATAATGTAGAATCTGCAAAACACCGCATAACGTGGATGAACTTGGAGGACATTATGCTGAGCGAAATAAGTCAGTCACAAAAGGACAAATATTGTATTAGTCCGTTATTGTGAAAGTTAAGGAAAGGTTTATATATTGGAGGACATTTTCTTTGTTGGTTACCAGGGGTGGGAGGGAAGGGGAGGGAATGCTGTTAGATAGATAGAGATAAATATTGATTTGGGTGAAGAGAAGGGCAATGTACCAAATGGGAGTGACCAATATGGCAGCATTGAGGATGAGAAAGACAGAGAGAGTTACATGGGCAGTACAAACAACAAATATGAACCCCTTTGTAAATACAATACTGAGTTGTCAATGAAAGCAAACATGGGTATAGGGACGGATAGATGGGTGAACAAGCTAAACAATTATGTATGTCTAAATGGAGAGTGTATCCAAGATCATATACAGGGTTGGCAGACAATGGGCCTCTCGAAGAGTATGAAGGGATGGACACTGGGAGGAGGTAACTATGGGGAGGAAGTGGGAGGGGAGCTGCTGCATTGTAAATTTTGGTCAATGACATGAGACAAAGTATATGTGAACTGCTGTATGAAAAGTGAATTTACTCTGTAAATCTTCACCCAAATCCTAATAAAAAAAAAAAAAATTATATGGAACAAAGAAATCAACACCATGAAAAAGTACATGACAAAAATGACAGCAACAAATTCATACTTGTTGATAATTATATATCTGGCAAGGAAGTTATCTCTAAGATTTATAGAAAACTCCAATGCTTCAACAGCAAAGGGATTAGCAATCCAATTGAAAAATGGGCAGAAGACATGAACAGACACTTCACCAAGGAGGATATTCATGTGGCCAGCAAATACATGAAAAGAGGCTCACGATCACGGGCCATCAGAGAGATGCAAATTAAAACAAGATGCCATCTCACCCCAGCACTGATGGCAAGGCTCAACAAGACAGAAAGTAACAAATGCCGTCGGGATGTGGAGAGATTGGGATACACTGCTGGTGGGACTGTCAAATGATACAACCACTGTGGAAAACAGTATAGCAATTACTTAGAACGTTAACACCATTCTCTTCCAGTTCAGGCTTCATCATTGTTCTTCAGAATGACCGGAATTGGAGATACCATTTGAGCCAGCAATCCCATTACTAGGTATATATCCTAGAGAGGTGAGAGCCAGGACAGGAACAGATATATGCACACCGATGTTCATCGCAGCACTATTTACAATAGCAAAAAGATGGAAACAATCTACATGCCCATCAACAGAAGAGTGTATGACCAAACTATGGTACATACACACAATGGAATGCTATGTAGCACTAAAGAATAGTGTAGAGTCTGCAAAACACCGCATAACAAGAATGAACTTGGAGGACATTATGCTGAGTGAAATAATAAATCAATCACAGAAGGACAAATATAGTATTAGTTCGTTGTTATAGAGGGTCAAGGAAAGGTTTTTGTATGGAGGGAAACTCTGTTGGTTGCCAGGAGTGGGAGAGGAACACTGCACACACACTCAAAAAATGCACTGACTCATGTCACTTTAGCTCTGTGTATTTCCCTGTACATAAATTATATCTCAATAAAATGCATTTTTTAAAAATGTGGTATGTACATATAATATTGTTCAATTATGAAGAGAAATAAAATTTTGATATATCCTACAACATGGATGAACCTTGAAAACATAATGCTGAGTGAAATAAGTCAGATTCAAAAGGATAAATATTGTATTATCCTACTTATATGAAATATCTAGAATTGGAAAATACACAGATGCCAAAGTTTAAAAGTAATTACCAGGGGCAGGAGGGAGAGAGAAAGGAGACATCATTGCTTAAAGGACACTAGGTTGCTGTTAAAGGTGACAGAAAAATTTAGAAATGGGTAGTAGTAATGGTTAAACAATATGATGAATGTAATTAATGTCAATGAATGATACCTGCAAAAAACAAATGGCAAATGCTTCACTATATATGTTTTTACTACAATAAAAAAAAAGAGAGACAAGAATTCAAGTGACAATCCAAGCAAAAATTCCTTTAGCTTATTAAACAGAGTCTAGGATGCAGTGTGTTGTCCGAAGTGGAAGACTCAAGAGGTGGGGAGATAATTGCATGTTTCTAAAGTGTTGTAATAGTATTGGTCTACCGCATTTCTGAAATCTCTTGTGTGTATATTTAGTTTTAGACAAAATTTTTTTTTTTCCCATCTTTGGGGGTAGATTTCTAATGTTTTAATGAGAATTGCTGGGAAACCATGACTGACTTTGCTGAAATTCAGTTTATAGTTAATCTAGCTGTAAATTTCTTCTATAAAGCCAAGGACACCAATGATAGAAAACAGTGGTATTAACCCATGTTTGGGAGCATCAATCTGACTTACTGGAAGTAAATCTGAAACGAAAGTCTTCCTTCTGGCTTTTCTCTTATGAGGCATTTCTTCCATGGCATCATCTTCAATGAAAGCATCACCATTAGCATTCTCTACTATTTCCTCAGTCTCTGCGGCAGTTTTCAACCTTTGAGTTTCAGCCACCTTCATCTGAATAACCGTCTCACCAGCATCCATTTCCAAAACTTCAGACAGGATCTTTAGTACAGCATTGATGATTTCTGCCTGACTCTTGGAAGGAATAAGGTCCTTTAGATTCCAAATTGTGCCTGGGAAAGCCAAAGGAATCCCCAGTGAGATCTGTTACTAAGTGCAGTTTCCCCAAGATTGGTGCCTTAAGCTCAGTTTTAAATTCAAAAATCTTGACCCTGCGGCCTTTGTTCAGTTTTTATAAAATGCCAGAAAGCAGTGAAGAGATAGCTCCCTCTACGATAATCCAACATGATCATCTCCCCTCCTCGGCACACAGAGCGTTTCCCTGACACTACATGTAAGCAGACGGAGAGAACATAGATCAGGTTTCTTTCAGGACAACAAATTAAGTTGCCTCATTTCTTTCATCTTAACCTGAGCTGCTCTCCTCAGCAGTTTATTTTCTGAGAATGGAATGGAATGTACAATTCCAAGGTCTCATGTACTAGACAGCTGGTTCTCTCTCTTTTACTTTTCTTATCAAAATAGAACAGAAGCTACCATTAAGTAGTTAGACTAATTAATAAAAAAAAAAAAAATAGAAGTGACTACAAAAATAAAAATACCTCAAGATAAATTACCTCCATAAGGCCAAAGGGCAGGAGGAAAACACATGCAGAGATTACATGAAGTGCATGCTACCCAACAGACCATCAGATTACTTCTCACTTCTGTACTCAGCAATTCTGGGGAGGAAAGGGCTGGAGGAAAAGAACTTACAGGAAAGTAAGTGGTTGTGCCTTGGATCCCCAGAGCCAATTTCTAAATTCACCAATAAATAAATAAATAAGAGGGGATCCTGATAACAGTTCATAAATAAGAGGGGATCCTGATAACAGCATTTCTTTGAGATAACAGTACTTAGTTAAAATGAAAACAATCTAGTCTATAAGGCTTCACAAGTAGGGAGAAGTGCTTTAATTGAGGATCTCCACTTAAATATTAAAATCTCCAGAACAGGTATATAAGCACCACACTCCAAACCAAACTCACTGCAACTGAGTCAATTCTGACTCAGAGTGACCCCCATACGGTTTCCAAGGCTGTAAATTTTTATGGGCCTGGACTGCCTCATCTCTTTCCTGTAGAGTGGCTGGTAGGTTCAAACCACTGACCTTTTCATAGCAGCCAAATGCAATAAACACTACATCCCCAGAGCTCCTTTATATAAGCACAGAACAGGCTTTATAAGAATGCCAGGTGTGATGAAATGAAAGAATGATTTTAACATCAGCCCCCAGTGCTACACGTTACAAGTTTCTCAAAAGGTACTTTACCCAATGGGAAAATTTTACCTGCCACCAATGTCTTTAATAGAACATACTCCATGGAACTGACAGGCGATAGCATTGCAGATTCTAGTACATGCAGTCCTGCAGCACTGAAAGATTTTAGTAGCTCTGGATTATCTTCAGTCACAGTCTGCAAACAATATGCTATAAAGACAAAGATTAAGTATTTAAAAACAAATGAATTCTGCTTAGGATAATTTACAATAATATAATTCATCAAATGTGCATCTTCACAACTGCTTTATCTACATGAAGACACAGGTATAAGTATTTTACCTCAAGGATGGTACATACAAATTAGGTTTTTTAAACTGTCAATACTACAAGACTTTTAAAAATTTTCTAATGTCCTACAGAATACTTCTATAAAATGCAATTAAAAAGTTCTTAAATGTCATGACAATTGCAAATTACTGGACACATTTATAAAGGCTTATCCTCAATTTCTATACTTATTGTGGACTAGCAGCAAAAAGTCTATAGACTGCCACAAGCCCACGGACCACACTCTGAGTAGCTCTGTTGTTGATAAGAAGCCCTAGGTTTTGAAACATTCTGGCTTTCTTTAAATTCAGCATAACCTTAAAAGTTAAGGTTATTTCTGATGAAGAAATAGTTCTTAAAGAAAAAAATATAAGCAAGTTAAGAAATGGGTAAAATATTAATAGTGATATATAAGCAATCCAGTTACCATTTAACTTCTCCTCTCACATTAAAACAGCACAATGGATTATAACCTGCATATCAGAAATAATTCACTGCAAGTATAAAAACAACTGAGATTGTAGGAAAGAACTAAGAGCAAAGACCTCTGAAGCACAAAAGAGGAAGCAAGCCCATGTTCATTTTTTGTGAAATACTCTATCTCATACAGAACTATTTCAGGTCTAAAGATCCCAAAACAGGTAATACCCATCCAAATTAGTCAAAACACATGCTATTGCTGTGATCTGATTTGGTCCTCAAAATACCTTTGTATGTATTTGAATATAATACTTTTTTCATTATGAGTCTAATGAAATTCACTTCAGCAAAAAGTCAAGGTTGACAGCTGAACAACATGAACATATTTAATGTCACTGCCTTGTACACATACAGACTGTTAAAATGTCACATGTTTTGTTACCTATATATTTACCACAATTAAAAAAAAAAAAAAAAGAATGCAAGTTTAAATGAAGCCTAAGACACGTGACTGCTAACCAGAAGGCTGGTGGTTCAAAACCACCAGCCACTCCTCAGAAGGAAGACTGGGCAATCTACTTCTGTAGAGATACTGCCTCAGAAACCCAAGGAGGGGTTGCTATTAGTCAGAGTCTGTTCGAAAGCAGTGAGTTTGGTTTGGTTTATCTTAAAATATAGAATGGAATCTCATATGTTCACAATATACATTTAATCCCTGCTTGACTTTCAAAACAAAAATAACTTGACATTTATTAAATAAATCATAAATCTAGGTAAATACAAAAGGACAACACTACTGTACAACACAAAATGACCAAAATCCATTTCAAAAATGTTCATTAGGGAGAAAAAAAAGCAGTAAGAAAAATATAACTACATTTACAACAAAAATAATAGAAATAGAACTTAAGTTTTTCTTTTAAAAGTTATGAACAAATTTTTCTGAAATATTTTAATAAAATTGTCTTGAGATTAAAAGTTCTTTATCAATCTCCTAGCTCAACTGTCTTTAAAATCCACATTTACTCACAAATTTCTACTCTGCCAAGATTCCATTGGAGAAACTGATTTTTAAGTTTCCCCCAATAGCATTTATTCCTCTTTCTTTTTTTCCTGTTGTCTTGCAAGTCTCCATCAGAGCCAAGAGAAGTTATCAGTTAAGAGAATGCACTGTCACTGCCAGGAGAAATGCATAGTTAAATGAAAGGACAACTGGCTGCCTGCCATTATGATGGGTAGAAAAAGAAACGCTTATCATCTCCACTCTCACATACTCACAGTTCTGTCCAGGCTATCACCCTCTGGTTTCTGTCTCCTCCCCCCACTGAACTAAGGGCTCCCAATGGCTCTCTTGCCTAATCCAGAGGAGGGTGAGAGCCAAAACAGCTGAAATTGCTGGACTTTGCTTTCCCTGCCCCACAGAAGGCAGGCAGGCCTAAGTGACATTTCAATCACTTATTCTACTCTCTCAAGAAAACCACATCTTATACTTTCTGCTGGAAGTATAAGACAGAGGTATACAGGATATTAAATAAGTCTAGATTCCAATTAACTTTGGCTCAAAAGCCTAGTATTTGTGGGTTACTGTTTCATGGTAGGGAGCTCTGGTGGCATAGTGCCTGAGACATTTGACTGCTAACCAGAAGGTTGGTGGTTCAAACCCACCAGCCATTCCTCAGAAGGAAGACTAGGCAATCTACTTCTGTAGTGGTACCGCCTCACAAACCCAAGGAGGGGTCACTATGAGTCGGATCTAACTTGACGGCAGTGAGTTTGGTTTTTTTTTTGGGTTTCACAGTAAATGGAGATGAATATTGAAGAATTAAGGTTCTATGAATGATAGCAGACAGAAGCCACATATGTGTTCTCTTCCTCCCCTTCAGGGTGAAAAGCAGGAATATTGTTATGAGTAAGTAAAGCATTCATCACAGATTTTTCAAGAGTCAGAAGAAATTCTTCAGCTAAACACTCATATACAATGAGAAAAAAAAATCACTACTATGGAAAAAACATGCTCTCTCTGAATAAAAACATTTATTGTAATAAAAACTACACACACTTAATAAATCACCTTTTCTTCACTTACCTACTGAAATAGCCAGGTCAACATTGGTGGAAAACCTACTTAAATAGTTTAATACAATCTCCAAACACCCTTCTTTGTTGAATATAGACACTGCTCTACTACTGCATTCACTAAATTAAAGGGGGAAAAAAAAGTTTTACAATTCACATTTTAGCATTAAGAAATCATCCACAGAAACCCATAAAAAAAATAAGTTAGGCTTTTTAGAACCAAAAAAGTATAGTCAAACACCCACCACTTTACAGAAACCTAAGTCCTTTCATATTCACTGTATATTTTATTTCTAGCACATTGGAGCATTGAACCAATGTCTTTACCTTACGGCCAGTTTCCTTATAGAAGGTTAGAACTAGAAGAGATCTTAGAAATCATTTGATTAAATTCCCCATTTTACAGATAAAGAAACTGAGGCCCTAAAAGGTAAAGTGATCTGTCCAAAGGACATTTGTTAGCGGTAGAGCTAGGCCCAGCACCTAGGCTCCTTGGGTCCAGCTATCTTTTCACCACACCACAGTAACAGGAAGTTATAGTAAGGATAAAAGGCCCCTATACTTATCACACAAAAAAACACAAAATTTAAAAGATGGCAAAATTATACTTTATTCATTCCTTCTAAACCATTGTTGTAATTTACAACAGAAAAACTGCATCTACCAGATTGCTCAGACACCATTTTCTCAAATCTGATCTCTCCAATTTTTCTGGTGGAATGTATCGAACAGTTTAAAATGAGATCACAGGCAAGTTCAGATTGCTGGGTAGGTAGCTTTTCAGGATTCTACTCAATCTTGTATTCTAAGAAATACCTATGCTTTTACGCCAGAAACTATAAACATTGCTGACTGAAAATAATGACCTATGGCAGAATCTTGCTAGAAATGTAGGGCATAAAACAGGATAGGAAGGAAAAATCCTGGCTGTGTCTCTAGCCCTTTCAACTTCTAGCAGCAAGTCTTCCCACCCCCACCACTGCTACAACCATGGACTAGAGAGTGGTCTGAGCTAGGCCCCTCCTTCCTACTGGGCCAAGGAAGTTCTGTATCTGCTTTTCTGTCACTGCTAGAGTACAGAAAGTAAAGCACCAATTAAGGCTTGTGGTCCCTGATTTTCTACATGCCAAACCAAAGCAGCTACCACACCAGGACCTGACCAGTTTTAAGATAACTGCTGCTCAGGATATGTGGGTAAATCCAAAAAACCAAACCCACTGCTATCAAGTCGATTCCAACTCAGAATGTGGATGACAGAGGAAAAAGGGGGTGTACTAAGTGCTAATGGTCATGATTCATCTGATTTTGCCAACAGCAATGATTGGATTGAAGAGATGTCAGTCAAACATACACAAACACACACATACACACACACACACGTTGTGATACTATGAGGAAAAGGACTTGGGAAGGGCACTAACCTCAGGTCACCCATGATTACCTCTGCCAGGTATTAGGTAGGATTTCTAAGCCTACTGAGAAGAACAGATTCCTATGGAGTGTAACAGAAAGAGCAGCAACCTGAGCAGCAGTGTAGCTGGAGGCTGCTTTTGTAAAGCAGCTTACCATATATTCCACAGCACGTTCACAGCCTCATTGGCTATGTTCTCAATAGAATCTTTGTTCTTATCTTTTTTCTCTTGTGGAGACATGTCATTTGAATCCAGTCCAGCACTACACTGAAACCAAAGATCATGATTAGCAACCTGGTTCAAAAGAATGATAAAACAAAAAGCCTAATGATGGTGGAGAATCACAAAAACTAAACATCTGAAATTATAGTGGTTAACAAGCCAATCAGATTCTCATAAGCAGTAGAGTTACTACAACCCTGCTTCCCTTCTGGCAAAAGCTATAAACAAAAAAAAGGTCCCCGTACACACAATGGAATACTATGCAACCCTAAAGAATAACGTAGAAATCTGCAAAACACCACATAACGTGGATGAACTTGGAGGACATGATGCTGAGTGAAATAAGTCAATCACAGAAGGACAAATATTGTATTAGTCCGTTATTGTAAAAAGTCAAGGAAAATTTTATATATGGAAGGAAATTGTCTTTCAAGTTTCTGGATAGTAGTTTCTTAGTTTCCCACCCAGGGGTGGGAATGGAGGGGAGAGAACATAGTCATTTAATCCTCCCTACAAACCTAAGAGGTAGATGAACTATTATCCCCAATCTCCCATTATAAACAGTAAACTGAGGTACAAGGAGATAGGAATCTGGGACTCAGACCCAGGCATTCTGGCTCCAAAGGTGGTGCTCTTAACCACTCTGAAGTACTGCCCCTTGAATATAACCTATGGCACCATCTAAAGGTTTCTCGATATCAGCACTAGCGACATTTTAGACAGGATAATTTGATGTTGCAGGGGCTGTCCTATGCATTGCGGGGTATTTACCAGCATCCCTGACCTCTATCCTCTAAGCGCAGCAGCAACCCCCATCCCCTTCTATGACCATCAAAAATGTCTCAAAATATTCTCTGTGAGGCAAAATCGCTCCCAGCTGAGAACTACTGCTCTAAAAGGAACAAGACGATGCCTGTCATCCAAGGTGGATATCCTTTATATAGCCTTAAGTGGAAATCATCCACCAATACAGAATAGTGGGCCAGAGGCACATGAAGGAAAGAGAGACTTGCCCCTCGCACATCATGCAGTATGACTGACGTGACATTGTGAGGATTCACTGTAATCTTCATGACAAGTTCCTAATATCTGTGCCTCAACTCCCTCACTTGGAAAATGGGGATAATACTGTGCAGATTAAATAATACACAAAACACCAAACAGCACCTGGCACCTAAGTAAACAGTCAATAAATACGAATGATTTTTAACTGTTTGAAGTTTAAAGTCTAAGGGGGTCAGTTTTAGGAGAGTATTTTTTAATAAAGGTAATGGGGACAAAATAATAGAGACTGGCAATAAAATCAAAGCAGATCAGTATTCCCAGGAAAAGAAATTAAATTCTCTTGGATGTTTTGAGGGAAGACAAAGTAACTAATACCAAATTACTGTGGCAAATAAAAGAAAACAAAGTTTCTACATGAAAAGCTACACTAAGAAACTACTATCCAGAAACTTGAAAAGCTGCATACCTCTTTCAGCAGAGCAACCAGAGGAGTCATGATATCCTTAGTCACCATGTCATCACAGACATCAAAACCACCACAGGCACTGAGATTTCTACAAGAGAAGTTAAAATATATTTCACATTCAGATCAGACATTGCAAAAAACAATCTGTCAAATTTATTTCTATTTTTAACCACACAACAGTTTTGCAGAGGAAATCCACCTATTGTTTCTATAAGGTGTTGCAGAACCAATGTATTCTGAACCTTGTTCTGCAAGCTGTAAACACATGATTATCACGTAACAACACAGTTCTAAAGAGAAGTCTGAAACCGTTCACAGCTGCAAGACAACAGGCAACAGAGACAGGGAAGACTTCTCCTACTGAATACGAATAAATCACAGCCTGACCTTCTGTTACAGGATCATTTCTTGGAATCAAGATTTCAAGGGCAGCAAGGTAAAGCTACTGCAGTGCAGTGAACTGCTACTTATGGCCCTTCAAGCCTTACTCTCACCAATCATAGGCATACTGAGAGTGCCTGGAGCATCTTCTAGTTAACTTTGTATCCTTAGCACCTAGCACACTGCTGTGAACTGAGAAGACAAGCAGTGTCTTTTTAATGAAAATTGAATTTAGGTAGAGTTCTGGTGATGTAGTGCCTAAGGCATTTGACTGCTAACCAGAAGGCTGGCGGTTCAAACCCACCAGCCACTCCTCGGAAAGAAGGTTGGGCAATCTACTTCTGTAATGATACTGCCTTGGAAACCCAAGGAGGGGTATAAGCTGGATCTGACTCGACGGCAGTGGGTTTGGTTTTTTGGTTTTTTATCTCAGAGGATGTCATTCTCGGTAGCTGCTTGAATAATTTCTTTTAGAATCATTAGCACCAGGCTGGTTCCTATGAGGTGGAAGTTAAAGATGTCCCAAATATGCAGCTTTTCTGAACTGCTGTACTGCTCCATCATCTCTAACATCAACTCCTCTTCCTCCCTTAGTACTCTCCATCAAATAGTTTCTACTCCCTCCATCAAATAGTTAACCTTCTCTCATTCTTCAGCTTTCATCTCAAACATCACTCCCTCAGGGTTTTCTTCCCTGAACCCATTACACTCTCACAGCATCCTTTGTAACTATTAGTTGTAATTATACCTTTATGTGAGTACTTGGTTAATGGCTATCTCCCTCAAAAGACAGTAACCTAGTGAAGAACAGAGACTATCTGTCTTGCTCACTATCACATGGCCAGGGCCTACCTAACATAGCGCCTGGAATGCAAGAGTCATGAAATATGTACTGCTAAACCCCTGAATGAAACACAAATAGTTACAGAGCTGTGATAAGAACTATAAATATTAACTTCTACTCTTGCCCCCTCTGCAGTCCATTCTGTGCACAGCCACCAGAGTGGCCTTTCCAAAAGGTAAATTAGATTGTGTGTCATTCCCCTGCTCAGAATAAGTCTTGACTTTATACTATGTGAGTGCTTGTCCACCTCTCCAGCCCCATCTCCTTTAATTCCCTACTCCCAACTTTATTCAGCAATGCAAACATTTCTGTTCCTTGACCATGCCACGCCCTTTGCTACCTCACCTCTTTGCTCTTGGTGTTCCCTATGTCAGGAATAGTCTTTCCCATATTTTTTCCAGGCCTGGCTCTCTCACCTTTCAGGTCTCAGTTCAAACTTCATCAACAGAGAATCCAATTTAAAGTAATTTCCCATCCCCAGCTCATTATGCTCTTTGTTTCCCCACAGCACCTCTCACTACCTAATACCATTTTATGTACCTGTTTACTAGTTTCCAGTCTGACTCCTCATCTACACAGGTTCTGTAAAAGTAGGGATATGTGTGTCTCGCTGCATGTCTTACCTACTCAAAATCCCTTGCACCTAAGAATAACTCCTGGCACATCTACTGGCCTATATATTTCACGGACAAAAAAGTAAATGAAGAGTTAACTTCACCACAGGACTCTGCAGGCTTCTAGGGGAAGGTAAGGGTCAGACTTTCTCCAAGCCTTAAAGGCAAGGACGCCTTGGAAGGTGGCTGTCGCAAGGGAAACAACAGGCTGACAGATAGAATGCGTGTAATAGGGAGTCTGTTTGATTTCAAATCCCCTCTCTACAAATGTGAGACCCTTGGCAGGTTATTCACCCTCTCGAATTCAGCCTTAAAGGCCTACCTCCCACCACTGCAGGGAGAATGAAATGGGACAACGCGCTGGCCAAAAGATACTCCTGCCTCGATACGAAGCCCAGGAAGGGTGGTGGCCCACCGCGGAGACTCGCCCACCACGAACTCGCCCGTGCGACTCACCTGAGCGCGCCGGCCGCTGTCTCTCTCACTGCCAGGCTGGGGTCGAGCAGCAGCGGCCCGAGCTTGCGCACCGCGTCCCGGCGCGCCAGGCCCGGTAAGACTGGCTGCTGCTGCACCAGCCGGGCTAGCCCCGCGCAAGCGCACTCGCGGACTTCGGCGCTCGGGTGCTGTAGCTGCGGAACACAAGCGAGATGTTAGCGGCGAGGACCGCGCACGCGCGGAGACCGGGAGCCGACCCCCCGAGCGCGGAGCGACCCCAGAGAGGAGGAACAGCGCCAACGACGGAGGGCTCCGTCCCAGACGTCCGCCTCTCCTTCGTTCCTCGTAGGGATGGCCGAACCCTTCGCCTCACCTTCTCCAGCAGCTCCGCTGCCGGTCCATCTTCCTCCTCTCCCTCAGTCCCATTCGCCGCCGCTGCCTCAGCCTGACAGTTCCCCGTAGGAGAGAACTGAGGACGCTTGAAGCGCTTCGTCCGGCTCTTGCCCATGGCGTTTGCGCTCTGGGAACAGACGGTGGTGGCTGCCAAACCTATGGCAAAGACTAATCCCCAAAGGTACTTCGTGCCTCTGCTCAGCTGGACCTAGTACGCATGGGGAAACAGTACGCAGGCGCCTGGCGCCTTTGCTGACGGGGGGGGGGGGGAGCGGGAGGGCAAGGAGACTGCGCAGGCGCAAAAGAGAGGATGGGTGGAGCTAGCGCTGCCAGAGGGGTGGAGTCCTGTGGTTTTCCACGGAAGTGGGAGGTGGAGTCCAGCCTCTTAGCCGCTTAGTAAAGGTTGTCAAAGTACTGAACCTCACCAAACCTGTATTTCCTTAATAATAAAATAGATTTATTAGTACCTAATTTACAGTGCTGTAAAGTGCTTAACACCAAGTTTGACATATATAGTAAGTGCTGAAAAAATATTAACCATGATTTTATTTTGTGTGCTCTAGCACGTACCCAAGGAGGGGTCGCTATGAGTTGGATCCGACTCGACGGCGCATAACAACAGCACAGTTCCTGTCATAGAGCTCGGTAAATGTTTTAGAATAGATGTACATCTATATGTGATAAGATGGACTCTCTTAAGAAGTTAGTCTGACTGCCTCAGTTTCCTTTTCAGTGAAATGGGGATAGAGCTGTCATGAGGATTAAATATGTTAATATGTTGAAGGTGCTAAGAACAGAGATAGGCACATAATAAAACAAAAAACAAACTCACTGCCATCCAGTCGTTTCTCACTTATAGGGACCCCCATTGGGTTTCAGAGGCTATAAATCTTTACAGAACTAGATCCCCTGATCTTCCTTAAGCCGAGTTTAAGGTGGGTTTGAACCCCTGACCTTCCAGTTAGCAGTGAAGTGCCTCATCCATTACGCCACCAGAGTTCCTTTGGCACATAATACGCAGTACATAAATGCTTGGTTGAAACTTTTACTTAACAATTAAAAGGATTCTTTCACAAATACTTATTAGACACCAGGTAGGGTTCTGGACCTTGGGATAAAACAGTGACCAAACAAATTTGATTCCTGTCTTTACAGAGCTTATAGTCCAGTGAAAAGTATGTTAAATATATGATTATATGACCAGTTAAACCAGTTGCCATCAAGTAGAGTCTGACTCATGGCAACCTGTGTGTCAGAGTAGGACTGTGCTCCATAGGGTTTGCAATAAGATTTTTCAGAAGTAGGTTCTTAGGTCTTTCTTCCAAGGCATCTTGCATGAACTTGAACCTGCAACCTTTTAGTTAGTTATACTTGTAAGTGTAGGAAGCTAAGGAAGGAAAAGCACAGGAGACTCTTCTGTCTCAGCTTTTTTTTTCCTTTAAATATTTTATTGGTTTTGGTGAAAGTTTACATAGCAAATTAGGTTCCCATTCAGTGACATTGGTTACATTTCCCTCATTGTGTCAACATCCTCATTGTTTCTGTTCTGATCTGTTTTTATTGCTCTAGCTTCCCTGCCCCTCCCCCCATACCTATATACCCCTCGACCTTCTCATCTTTGTTTTAAAGTAGATGTTGACCATTTGGTTGCATATAAATAATCCCCCACCCCCACCCTGTCCACCCCACCCCACTCCCACGCCCAGGGTTTTGCAAAAACCCCAGTCCCACCCTGAGTCCTACTTAATGCAAATGTCAATTCTTACTGTGTGACTCCTCTGACTTCCCAGTGTGGGGGAGCTCTCTCTTGAAACAGCACATAACTTGTACTTTTCCTTCAAAGCACACCTCAAAATTACAGTTAAAATTTTAAATGTATTTCTGTAGTTATACAATTGCCTATACCCCAACTGGTCACTCAATCCCATGAAGACAAGACTGTGCTTGCTCTCACATACTACTCTGTTATGGGTTCAGTTTAAAATAATAGCCACTATAATGTCCACTTTTGGGTAAAGGAGATTTATTTAGGCTAGCCGACTGCAGGGAGCTGAAGCATGCTCCTGTGCTGCAGTAACGGGCCGATTCTAGGCAGGTTTCTATAAAGCAGAAGCAGAAGCTGCAGTTTCAAGGTCTTAGAATACATGCTTCAGCACAGGCGTTCATCGAGGGGTGATGGGAGTTAGTTCTGATAACCACCTTAGAGTACGTGCTTTAGCACAGGCATTCATCTGGGGTGTTTTAGTTGCTTAATATGCAAAAAAGGGGAGTACCCTTTAACCCACGGGCAGTGGGGGCAGGATGAGATGGTCACTTCAGTTACGTAAAATGGAGTTTTAGCGAGATATTGCCAGTTATAGCTGGACATTACAAAAATAGAGTTAGAAAGTGGAGTCACTCACTTCACTCTACCCCCAACTAGTCCAGGGCCTAACACGTAACAGCACACAAGTGTTGAATGAATGCAGACCACATAATCATGAAAGGATGAGACATTGCAATCTAGCTAGAATGAGATGAGATAAAACCAGAGATCCCTGCTGTCCCTCTCACTTTCTGGTATAACACTGAGGATGAGCAAGAAAATAGTTCATAATCGTAGGGCTAATCTTTGTGGGCCATTATCATCACTTATTCTTTGGGTGATAAATGAATATTTCTGCTGAAATGAATGATATGCATAAAGAACATAACAGCCCTTCTGGGGACCACTGTCATTTGATCATCAGTCTCAGAAGGAGCCCAATGAACTTAATCAGATATTTTAAAAAATCCAAATAGTGATTATCTTGTGATCAGTCGCCCATTACTCATGATGACTCCAGGTACAACAGAAACTTTGCCCACTCCTATACTTTCACAGTTGTTGGTGTTCTGGTTACCTAGTACTGCTCTGACAGAAATATACCACAAATGGATGGCTTAAACAAACAGGAGTTTATTCTTACAATTTGAAGGCTTTAAGTCCAAGTTCAAAGTCCCAAGCTCTAGGGGCTGGGTGAAAGCCCCTCAGCCTTGGGTTTCAGCTCTACCTCCAGCTCCCGGCAGAAGCAGAACACAAAAGCTAGAGGCTTTCTTCATTCAGACAGCGGCTGGCTGCTGAGGCTGCCAAGCCCAAGGCAAAAAGGCATAGTCCCGATATTACCAAATAGCACGGCAGGCCATTCATTCAAGTCCATTGTAAGTCCTAAGGTCAGCAGAGCATGGCAGGCTGCTGAACAATGACACAGCTACACGCAGGGTTCAAGGTACCATAAGCTAAAGACCATTCCCAAAGCTGCTTTTTATACAGGAAGCAGACCACATACCCAAAGCAGCTACACAGCTGCTTGTGGTAGATCCCATTATGGAGTTGATTGCCACCAGCTTCCCAGCCACTCAACTAGGCCCAGCCAAGTTGACACACAAACGTAATACCACAGTTGGTATGCTTAGGTCTGTTGTTGAGACCACTGTGTATTTTGGCTAACCTTCCAGCCCTGTATTGGACAATATTCTGCTGTGATCCAGAGGTTTCATTAGTTTGGAGAAGTAGATCTGTAGGCCCTAACCTCTCTTAGTCTGGAAGCTCTATGAAACCTGCCCACCATGGGTGATCCTGCTGTTTTTTGAAATACAGAGAGCATAGCTCCCAGCATCATAGCAACATGCAAGCCACCAGTATGACAAACTGACAGTCCTTGAGGCGTGTCCGCTCCCTCTGCATGGTTATTGCCCTCTGCCTCAGCTGGCCCTACATAAGTGACTCGTTGTTGTTGTTACGTGCCGTCGAGTCGGACCCGACTCATAGCGACCCCTCCTTGGATTGCTGAGGCAGTATCACTATGGAAGTAGATTGCCCAACCTTCCTTCTGAGGAGTGGCTGGTGAGTTTGAACCACCAGCCTTCTGGTTAGCAGTCAAGTGCCTTAGGCATACTACCAGAGCTCCTAAAGTGACTCAGTAGTCATCAATAAGGAGTGTCACTGATGATGATGGCATCTGCAGACACCCGGACTCTATTTCCAGTTCTGCCTCCAGTGGTCAAAGGAGGTCACTTCCCTTTTTTAGACCTCAGTTTCTTCATTTACAAAGAGACTGCTAACCAGGAGTCTGGTGGTCCAAACCCACCAGCCACTCCTTGGAAAGAAGATGGGGCAATCTACTTCCGTAGTGATACTGCCTCGGAAACCCAAGGAGGAGTCACTATGAGTCGGGTTCGACTCAACAGCACATAAGAACAACAACAACTCTGAAGGTGTTTGGAATACCAGAAGGCTATGAACCATTTTGTTTCAAGAACCGCCTTCTGGAAGTTAAACTGAATATGCTTCCTGAGCAGGTGTCAGGGCCTGGGACAGACACTCTTGCCACAAATCTCCCATTTGGACCTCAGAACCTGAGGTGGGTATCATCATGGTGTAATTGCTGACAGCCAACCAGATAAAGTCACTGCAAAGGGATCTGCTGCCCATTAGAAATTCCACATTATTCATTCATTTATTCATTTAACAAGTGTTCATTGGGTGCTGGTATGGATTGGAAGGTGCTCTGGTGGTGTAGTGGTTAAGGCATTTGGCTGCTAACCAAAAGGTCAGTGGTTCGAACCTAGCAGTCATGCCAATGGAAGAACCCTGAGGCAGTCTGCTTCTGTAAAGACTTGTTGTTGTTATGTGCTGTCAAGTCAGACCCAACTCATAGCGACTCCTCCTTGGGTTTCTGAGGCAGTAACACTACAGAAGTAGACTGCCCAACCTTCACCTTGGAAACCCAATTGGGGTTGCAATGACTCAGAATTGATTTCATGGCGGTGAATTTGTGTTTTTGTTGTTTATAGATTGGCTTGTGTCCCGAAAAAATGTGTTGGAATCCTAACCCCTATATCTATGGATGTCAAGAGCTCTAGTGGTTGAGTGCCTAAAGCATTTGACTGCTAACTGGAAGGTTGGTGGTTCAAACCCACCAGCTACTCTATGGAAGGAAGATGGGGTAATCTATTTCTGTGAAGATTTTACTGCCTCAGAAACACAATGAGGGTGAACTATGAGTCAGAATTGACTCAGTGGCAGTGGGTTTATACCTGTGGATATAATCCCATTTGGGAATAGTATTTTCTTCGTTATTTTAATGAGGTCATATCAGTGAAAGGTGTGTT